GTCCTCTACTTTCTTAAATGATAATGTCAACACACACACACACACACACACACACACACTCTCTTCTGGCTCTCTCTCACTTCAAGAGGCATGCTTAAACTCCTCACTGTAACGTTCATTTAGCAAGCCCGCCATGACATTTCCAAAGTACGTGAAGATGTGAAATCTCCACAGGTTCAGTACTTTATCGACCAAGAAACTTAAATCTGGAAATCTCAACCTTTGGTGCTGACAGCATGGGTGCGCACTGACTTTTTCCAGGCAGCCAGGTCTCGCTGTGATGGCCTTTCTCAGCAGCCAAATCCAGCTCCCGCCTGGCCCGTCGTCCTCAGCGCAGAGCTTTCATTACTCTCTTAAAAGAAATAAAACAAATAATAAATAAATATAGTGGAATTTATTAAATATTTATTCAATATTTTATATATTTATTACACACACACACACACATATATATATATATATATATATATATATATATACACATATATATATAAAAATGTTGAACTCTCATCTCATCTTGCTTCTGCCATTAAATCATCTCGTTCAGAGATGCCACTGCTCATTAATTTTCCTCGATGACAGTTTGATTTTGCACTGCTGTCATCCTTGACGGAGTTACTGCACTGACAAAGTGGAACCGTCAGCTTCTCTTAATATGGAAAGATTTGTGGCAATTGATTTTGTTTATGTACAAAGATATTCAGAAATAAAGCTTAGCTTAATGGGCTGAAGAATAATGCACATTAAAAGAGGCAGTGGCGGTGAATTCCTACTTCAGTGCAGGAAAAGATTTAGGCAGCATTTTGGGGACTCTAAGCAAGCATCTGCCTAGGCATTCCCCCAGACCTACAGCTTGTAAACAGTTTAAAAATAAAGCAGAGGGAATAACTTGTCCCCTGAGGCCGCAAGCTCTCGATGTGAATTAACAATTTTAGTAATTTATTTGATGTGCTCCTAAATAGGACTGAAAAATGAATCATACTTAGCGTTATCCAAATTTTTGACCTCCTCAAACAACTAAATCATTTTATATGATATTGGTGAGATCAGCTGATGCTGCATATCTGTTTTGGACTCTGATTCCCCTGAACCATGTGTCCTTTTTGTATTGTGCTTGAGTACTGCCATGACTATTTATTTAGAGTCTAATTTTATGTTTAATATGGAAATGAGGCGCTGAATAATTGTAAATACCAGTTATAATGTAATCCAAACATTCATACAGATAAATCTTATAGTCTTAAACAAACATTTGTTTATATTAGCAAACCAGTTGTCTGGTGTACTGTAAAATTAGAGGCTAACAGACCAACTTAAATCAGAACGTTAACATAATGGATTCGAATCTACGCTGGTTAGCATGGAAGCATGGAGGCCAGTTCACCCCTACATTTACAGTAATTACAAACAGAACAGAACAGACAAAACACTGGCAATAACGGTAAAATATTGTGTTTGAGACCGTAATATCAAAGGCAAAGTATGTAACGTTAATGGATTTTACTTACAGTTTTCCAGCTTTCTAGAGGAGGTGTGGGATCCTTTGTGTTTGGTAATACTTGCAGCTGAAGCTTACGGCAATTTAGCGAGTCCTTTAACGTTACTCATTCAGATGAAGTTGCCAAGCACTATTACATGAACAGTATGAGCACCAGAATGTACACTCGGACAGTATGATGATCTGTTGATTGCTATTTTTAGAAGTATTACTTCATATAGGCCTCTACATAAAGAGCCATGAACTATAAGAAGCTAAAGCTATTAGCATTTATGCTAGCGCCCATAAAATGAGCGTTTTTGCTTATTTTCACACTCGGCAGAGAAAAAAAAATGAAGCTTTGATTTTGTGTAAATGTAGTCATTCGTGTTAGTCTGTGTGCCTTACAGTGCAGTAGTTATATTCCTAGCAGTATAGAGGTTAAGCTAACTAGCAAGCAAGGTAGCTAGTTATCCAAATTAAATGCTTTAAAGTGACCATAAAATGTGAAATAAACTAGGATAAGAACTAGAAACGTAAATTCAGTTGGTTCATGTTTACGTCCGTTCTTGTTTTTGAATGAGCAGTAGGAAAACACCTTTATAATGCAATACTTCTTTATTAAACCTTGCAATTAAATATGTGACTAGTGTAATTAAATGACAGTCATTAAATTATTGACAGGGGAAGAGTTTTTTAATAGTAATAATAAAACGTTTTTCCAATATTACTGGTACATAAATCTGAGGATTATTACAAAATTTCTTGTAGCACTGCAGCCGTTACCTTCAGTCTCTAGCCAGAAGCAAGTTCTTTGCTGTTGTGACGTAACACTTGTCCTACTATGTAAATATAAATATTATTAGTAATAAAAATATAATAATAACCTGCCAATTCCTGTATTGCTGATTGGGCACTAGTGAATGCTTGTGTGGGATTCTAGTAAGTTAGTTTGAATTTACAGTAAAATTGCCCTTCAAAATATACTGAAACTTTTGCTCCTCATCTTCCCTTTTCGAATCGCTTTTTCAGCCCCTCCGGCATCTTGGCTAAACACTATAGTAACTTACAGTAACTACCCAAGTTGTTAGAGGACTCCATAGTATCCGCTTGGGTCACTTAAGGTAGAGCTGGCTCTGGGTTCAGGAGTAGGGAACAAGGATTTTTGAATGGACATCAAGTTCATTAGTTCACGAACAAGTCAGATAAATCAAAGACCATATAAATTTAGATGGTAGAAGTGACTGAAATCTTTATTCAGATTATTTAAGAACTTGGAGTGACCTTTATAAAACACCCAGGTAGACATGCTGATCGATATGAAGAAAGAACTTCGCTCCTAGTGCTCATACTTAGAAAAGCTTGATGAATATGGGCTCTTACTCACAAGGAGGCCTGCGTTAAAGGGGAAGTCTTGCCAAAATTAATAACTTACATAATGTAAACATGCCTCATACTTATTATTAGTGCGAAATTTAGGTTTAAAAACTAGGGAAAAGTCCCTCCTGATGACATCCTGAAGGTGGGAGGCACTTCTGAAAAACTACTCCTGCTTTGGGGTGGACACTTGAGTACAGGCTGTATGAACTGCTTTCTCCTGTCACTAATCGGGTATGGAAGAAGGAAGCCAGATAGCTGATGTTACTGCAAGGAAGCCAAGAACCATATCTGTTTTTATTAGCCTCTGTCAGTGGCTACACTAGCAGTTAAGATTTTTCTTGTCCATTTTAGGTTGTATTTGCATAATGCATGCCAAGTACTGTAGTGAGAACATTTATGGATGAAAAAAAATGCAAAAAATCAATAATGGATTCAATGCTGCAATACAGAATATTGCATAAATAACATTAAATGCTAGTTTTAGGCTAGAACGCCTTAGGCTGGAAGGATCAACCAGTTGGGCTTTTAAAAATAAATTAATAAATAAATTAAAAGGGTCATAGGGTCAGCATGACTGACTTAATAGCAAGAGTAAAGACCACAGGGAGAGGTGGGTGAACTTAAATAACATTTACTTGCTCAAATACAGGTCACAAAAACTGAGCACTTGCTGAGCAGTCATTTAACAGATGAGAAACTGTCTCTGTAAGCTCACTGTACACAGCAGCACCTCTTGGTCCATATAGCATATGTAAACTCACTTGCCACAAGATAGATGCTGCACTGCGCAATTATCACTCTAAAGTACACACACACACGCACTCGCGTGCACACACAAAAACAGCAGCATTTTCAATCTCTTTACAGTTTAGAGGAAGAAAAAGGAACACTAGTTCTGGACTCCAAAGAAGTATATCCAAGCTCAAGTATGTACACAGCAATTAAACAGAGGTTAAATAGAGTTCAGGCTCACAGAGGGGAGAGAAGATTACAGTGGACACTTCCAAGTTTTAGGCACAAGAGTAACTGTAGGTTCCATAGTGAGCTGCAGTACAAGCCAGAGGTATTGAGTTATCACAATCAAAATGTCAAATCAGATTAAATCAAGTCACACAGATCTAGTACTCAATCATATTCCAGTCAGCGACAGCTCCTCCTGCCCTACGGAAGTGATGACAAGGTGGAGGAGATGTCAGTTACAGCTGTAATAATTTAAAAATAAAAAAAAGGAAAAAAAAAAATCCAACATCACATTTGAGCATAGGTCCAGCCTGCTCCAGTCTGTCAGCTGTTCCAGTTCAAAAGCAAAAAACAGCAGGCAAGAGAAGACTGAGCGCTTTCCCTAAAGCTAACCAGCTCCCTCTGCTGGTTTGCAGGGGAGCAAGACTGAGGGGAGATAACTGGTTGGAAGGGCCTTCTTGAGAACAGACAGGGGCCCCACTGAGGGCTCACCCAGCCTGGCTGCGGCTCTCTGAACATCTCCACGTAAACAGAAGGGACCTGTGGACGAGGATGCTAAGCACTTTGCAACAGCAAAACTGCAGACTGAACAGGGTAAACATGGTAAAGGGTAGAAGGCAGGAGGAACAGCCCAAATTCAGAGGACAGGTGAGGAAAGGACAGGTTGAGGAAGGCACATTTCAAGTGACTCTCATCCCTCAAGTGCAACACACAACATTCAGTGCAGAAAACCTGGCCTTGTGACAGAGAAGAGTGGGAAGGAGGGGGGCAGGGTCAATGTACAAAAATATGGTGCCAAGTGGAGGAACAGTCAGAAGAGCCCAAGTTCATTGGAGCAGAGCATGAGCTCGGAAAAGACAGAAAAGTCAGAATGCAGCTTGTGACGAACAGTGATGACATGAAGCAACAGTTAGGCCTAAGACTACCTGGCATGCTGAGCTGAGGTTGCCAAGGCTTCCAATGAGAGCCATGAGAGAAAGAGGGAGTCCAACCATGAATGCTACGCAACTATATACAAAACGAGTTAACAGGAGGATAAGCGGGGGTAGAGGGGGAAGGCAGGGGAGAGAGAGAAAATTATAAAACAAATTGCGACCAACAGAAAAGGGATTTTTTTTTTTCCTTTGTGAGGTACCTGCTGTGTCTTCGCATTTAACAAAATTAAGAAAACTTAAAAGGCAAATTAAAAAGAAAAGGCAAATTTAAAAAAAGGGAAATAAAAAAATAATTTACATACACACTGAAATCATTCACAAACAAAAAACTCCCATTGACTGGCACACAAAAGGCTGGCTGAGCTCTAGGGCTGCTCCCAACACAGGGCCCTCCAGGGGTCCCTGCTGGGCTTTCACCCAGACCAACAAGATGCTGGCCTTTCTTTGCTGAACTCTGTCCTCTTCCTGACTGACAGCCCGCAGGGGTTCCCAAGAGAGCCGATGAGCGGTGGTTAAAAGATGCGCTTGCGTTTCAGGTAGGAGTCAGCATAGTGTCCCCCCAGCCCTTGAGAATGCTGACCCACATAACCGCCCTCTGGACTAGGCTCTGGAGATGGGATCAGCCGTGAGAACAGACGCTTCTGCCCTCCAACAGGAGTCTAAAGCAGATAAATAGATGGAGTCAGTAACGTCGTACACAGCCATCACCTGAATGGTAATCGCTTTTGGGAGCTCGAGCAGTGTACTTTGATAACATACAGGTGTCAGAAAGGCAGAATGATCAAAATCTCATACCTTTACTCCAGTCCCAGCTGCAGCGGAGAATAGACTGGAGTGAGACACAGGAGGCATTCCCACAGCCTGGTCAAACAAGACAATCATTACATTCCATATCAAAAAGAAGAAGAAAAAAAAAAAAACAAAAAACACAAAATTTGGTTAAGATCAAAACACTTAAGAGGATATGCCTTATTGCACATTACAACATGTGACTGTTCTAATCTGACCTCACAACTAAAATATCTAAAAAGTATACCCTTGGGGTAAAAACCAATTTACTGATTTACATAGTCCTTTGTCCTTAAAACAACCTTGTAACTCCATTATTGGCAGCTCAAGGTAAATCAATAGATTGTATCCAATATCAATAGAGAAGGAGCCAGTGTTTGATGATTTGGAAGATACTATAGTCCCCTCCTCCCTTTGGAATCAACAATGATATTTTTAGCAGCTGTGAACAGCGCAGGGAACGGGACAGCAGACTGTACCTTATTGAGCTGGGTTGACTGTAGGCTGCTAGGGGCTCCGAAGCTGAAGTAGGAGGAGCCAGGAGGGCTGGGGGGATAGCTGAATGGAGATGCTCTCTCACTGAAGCTTGAGTGCTATAGTGTTAAAAGGGTATACTTTAATCTTAACAGGCAATAGAAGTTAGCAAGCTAGCCAGTGTGATTTTTTTGGAATAACATTAATGCAGCCATTTGATAACCTTCATTCATTTTGTTATTTAAAGGGGAATTCCACTGATTGTTTTACTCAACTGATGTGAACAGTCATTCAGAGTGCCTGAGAAATGTGCCTTATATTAGTTGCCATTTGAGAATTTAACCTCAGAAAGTACAATATTTCAGATATAAAAATGGTACAGTGGAGTTTCGCCTGGTGCATTCAGACTAGTTTAGCAACACACTGAACAAAAGCTGTGTTTTATAGTACCCTGATCCAACACACTAGCCACAAGCTAATGCACTAGCCACAAAGACTGCCAAATAAAATTGCCATAATTGCATTGTAGGTATCACAACTCCTGACACTCATCCAAAACCTGTGCTACTGATGCAAAAACGTTGAGAAGTAGGTGGAATTCCCCTTTAACTAACCAGTAGTACACTGCCATGAAAGAAGACTATACCTGTGCCCCATAGGCCAAGAGCCCCATGCTGTCTAGAGCCTCCTGTTGCTCAAAAAGGTGACCAAGGGAGTCCTGCAGAAAGACCCGAAATCAATACCAAAAAAAAAATAAAAAAATAAAACACACAGTAACAAGCATGCAATGCATACTATAGCCCATATTTCATTTTTTGTCAGTGAAAGTTAAAGCAGTGCTCATGGTGTGTGAAATGAACAGCAACCATTTGCTCTGTTATCATTATTAACCGTCTTCCATCCCATGTTAAAGGGCTTTTGGAGAAAAAACTTTTCAGTTGCTGGTCTCTTCAGCTTTGTGTGTGAGGGGGAGGGACAGTTCATTAAACATATGGGGGATTTGCTTTATGTGTCTGATTATTAATTATTTCTAGACTTGAATAATCATGATACCTACAGATAATGTTCAGTTAAACACACTTTCTCTGTGTAAATTTTTAAATATCACATTATCTACCATGGTTTTCTGATCTCAACATGGCTTTAAAGTGGACTTAAGCTCATTTTCAGTGTTCATAATATTTTTGGGGTCTACCAGAACAGATTTACATGCTTCAATATTCCAAATTAATTCTTATACCATACACCTCCATTTTCCCCTCTTTCTAAAAATGTTCTGTTAGAGCTCCAGTGTCTTTAAGCCTGATGAGCTCAGCGTGCTCAGACTGGGTCAGCTCAGCCACTGTGTTCCGACTGCTACAAGTTCCACCCCTACACCACTGTGGCTATTCTTACAACGGCGTTGGTTTTGCTGTATAAGTTTAAGCCAGAGTCCGACGCTAAAAGTCAGGTAGAACAAGTTGGCAGATCCGATACACATTCGCAAGCTAGACTGGAGAAGGATGATAGAGTGGTTTTTACTTTGTTGCTCGTGTGAGGTCGTGCCAAGCTTGCCATTAGGTGGGCAATAAGGATTGAGATACAAGATTGCGTTATTTTATAACAAAGGGGCTGGAATTCCAACAAAGTGTTTCAGCCAGCTGAGAAGTGTTTTCTGTGGGAGAGAGTTACTCCCTCTGTCATGTACTTTGGGCTTTGTGACTTTGCAGACCGTTTACATACACAAAAAGCTATAACACACTAAAGAAAAGGGAAAAACTGGAAAAAGCATAATAGGTCCCCTTTAATTTAACATAGTAATGACAATTCAAAAGCGCTCAGAGGAGTCGCGAGCACTGGCATCGGTGTAGGTACCTTCATTAGAAACAAATATTTGGAAGATGCGGGACCAGTGTGCAGTGGTCCTAAAGGTGATAGTAGCTCAGCGACACCCACACACCCCCCCAGAACATGTTCCGATTTCAGCTTTCACTCAGGTCACTCAAGTTTACACTCTGATATCCTTTAAACGAGTGTCATTTTAGCAACAGTTGGCTGGAACCAAGCCTGCTGTGTGGTATGTTTAGCCTGCTAATTAAAACACTACAGTCCCAAACAACAGAACAGGTCTGATTTCGGCTTTGTCTCACTAGACTTTTGCTCTCTTTCTTATCAGCTTATCATCTAAAATTGTGTCAGCAGAGCACCACTTACTCAGAATCAAACCTAGCACTGTTTGTGTCTGTAGCCTGCTCTCTAAGCTAACGTTATGCTAGGCAATCAAGCTGCAGATTCAAACACCAAAAAACATGTTTAATTTCACTTTTCTGTCATTTCTGCACCAGACGCTTGACTTCACTCCCTCAGAAAATCAGTCATTATCATCTAAACTTGTGTCGGTGCTTTAGTTAGCCAGAATCTAATATGTTCTGTGTTGGACAGAGCTGTTATGCTAGCTTAGCTAATAGTTACTGCTAACCAGCGCCACTCCTAGTTCGCAGCACTGTTCATTTATAAGTTGTTAGATAGCCAGATATATTTAGCGTGTCATGTAATGCAGGACAACAAAACACCATTTGTTTGTCACTTAAGACACCCCGCCTACCCTGGTAATACCATATACTGCAGCAATATTTGGAGACTGTTTGACCGTAATAAAAAAGGGGATACTGCCCGACCCTACCCAGGAGCAAGACGCTGAATCACTGTGCTAAACTATGGCTGTCTAAAATGTACCCACTAACCTGGTGTAGCGATGGGAACTCGCGTGCGTAAGAATCCTGGCAGCGCAAGCTGTAATTGGAGTGAATACTCTGAAGAGGCCGCTGCGTAGATGTGCCACTTAACGTTGCCCTCTTCCTATACGGGTGGGGCCTGGAGCTGGCAGCTATACAGGCAGATGGGACATTCAGATTGTAGGACAGCACTTGAGCATTATATGGACAACAAAAAACACAAAAGGCAGATGACCCACCTGAGGATGGGAATATGCTAGGTGCATTCAGAAAAGGGTTTGAGGACACTCCAATCTCTTTAGGTGGATCTCCTAATATGGATGCCTTCTCCAACAGTGAGAGGAAAAAGAGAGGCGGCGGGGGGGGGATTAAAAAAAAAAACACTTCAAACCTTCATTCCATCATCACAGTCTGCAATCAACGGATTCTAACAAAACAGAAACCGGTTCAGACAACATGAAGTAACATCAAGTCAACAGTCCCATGTTCTACAATGGGCACTCTTCAGGAAACTACAGGTGTCAACGTTCCATTGTTCAGGAGAAACAGATACTGCCCAAGGTATCAACCAAGGTGAGCCATTGTCAAAATCATTCCCATGCACTGGAACATTTGTTCTCTGAAAATTCCCTTATTGCACCATGCTGTTTGTGGAATGAAAGAAAATAAATACATAATTTTGAGCTAACTAGTTGAATTTATACTTCTAAATTATGCTTAAACATAATGATCCAAATGCTGGACTTTTAATTAAATCAAATTCAAACATGAAACATGAGTCTTGGTTAGGAGACAGCCTACAGGCTAACAGCCTCTTCCACCAAAAGCATTTAGTATTTTGTACACCACAATCCAAAATTAGCTTGGCACCAACACTAGAAACCATATGGCAGCACTAGCAGAAATTAGTTTTATCTTAGTGGTGTTAATCGCTTATGAAACAAAATTACAATGTTTATTAAAACACTGCTATGTAACAATATAAGTAAATGTGACCAGCACATGGCTGTTTTTGAATAAAAAAAACAAAAACAAAAACAAAAAAAAAATATTCTATGAAATGACAGGAATATCCCAAAAAATTCCAGAAGCACATCATGGGTCTCACAAAACACCCCACAGAAGAGTTAGCTGGTTCTGTAACTAACTGCTTTAGAGTGGAACAAGCAAGGCACAGGGAAACAAGGATATATATATATTTTTTTTGAACCGAGTTAACTAGCTTAGTATCTTTAACTCTGAGGAACAAACATATGATCCAGACTTTATAGACAAAAATTAATTTTACATTATCTAACATGGAACTGAACGTAAGTGCATGAATTTTACGCTACTGGACCCTTTTGACTGGTATGCTCTAATTTATGGCCAACTTAAAAAGCTGTAAACAACGTGGCCACAAATTAGAGCTGGGCGATATGGCCAAAAATGTTATCACGATAAACAAAATTCATATCGTTCGATATTGATACATACCGCGATAAATGTCAAAACATTATTTCTTTCAAGTTTGAAGGCTGATTTTTGCTCCTGGGTGGTTAATTGTTTGTTAACTGTTTTAAACTATCCTTTATGGTCGGAACACGACAAACACAGTGGAACATTTCACAAATCTGTCATGGGAGAGTGGGAGAAAGTGTCTGGTAAGCTGTTTTTACCAGCTGGAAAAGCATGGCTATTTTTGTAATAGTCATAATTTAAGAAAGAAAACAGATTATTTTTAGCTGGTGACGAGCGCTCGGCTACCCTGCTACAAATGACATCACAGTATTCAGACACCAGCTGGCGACAACTGGATTTCTCTACACTATCGTAGTAGTTTAAGTGGTGAACCGCAAAATATCAACACCAGACAAACAGAGTCGTCCTTTTAGGTACGTTTAAACTGAAAGCGGTGCTTTTGTGTCTTGTTTGATCCACAGTATCATCAGTTCTCTGTGCTGTGTGAGTGACAGCGCGCTGCTTCAAGTTAGCCAGCTGCTAAAAACAGCTAGCCTGGAAAACTAGCGCTCCCCTGCTCTCCAATGCCTCACAGCTTCCTCAGGTTACTTTCTTTAAATGAGGGCTGTAATTTACATGAATTCACTTCTTTCTTTCACTTTCGTTGCTTGGGAATGCACTAATACTTAAATATGACTGTCCGGGGACTGTAACAGCACTGTAGTTGTGAGGATAATGATTTAACGCTGCTAAAGCTTGTTAGGACGTACGGAAAGAGGTGAGTTCACTGTAGGACAGTACAGTTACTCCACTGACCTCGTCACTCACACTCGGTCAAAGGAGAACAGCTCGCTGGTCGCTCCACTCAAACAGGGAATGTATAACTCCGCGTTTCAGCCGTTGCTAAAGACTCATCTTCCTCGTGGCCCCCTCCCTCTCTAATCATGTAGAAAAACTCGGAAGTGCTTCCTCTCCTGGCGACAGCAGAGTAGTGTCGTTTTCCTTGCAGTAGAAAACGCCAAGGCCTTCGCTGAACGTGGAAGTGTGAGAATGGTGTATTATATTGAATGTCGTATCGCTCTATCGAGGAAAAGTTATTTCGCGATAATTATCGTTATCGTTTTATCGCCCAGCCCTACCACAAATAAAAAAAAAAAAAGTAGAATTTCTTCCCTTTTGGGACTGCTCAGACATTTAACTTCAAAATATAATGCCAAATGTTCAGAACAGCAGCATATAAATCATCTCATGAGAAGAACTGATAACTAGGCGCTACAGCACATCTATGACTCCACACAGTTTACCTAAAATCAAAACTCCATTATCAGCAAAGATAGCTGTCAATAAGGGCAAGTGTCGCCTCATAAAATTTCCAGTGACTATGCTCATGCGCAAACTCCATCATCAGCAATGTGCAACACAGCAAGGTCGGTGTATGTGGCATCTGTGGTAATGTTCTGCATGAAAATGACTTGCCTGCACAGCAGACACTGTAACCTGTAAACTCTTTATTAAATTAGTTAGCAACAAACTAATAAAAGACTTTATTGGCAAAAGTGAAAAGAAAAGAAAAAAAAAAATGAAGAAAAATGAAAAATTAACAAGTCTCACCGCTGAAAGAGAGGACCCATCTCCCCCTAGCACACTCCCCAGAAGTGGCATGCTCAAACCCTGTAGTGCAGGAGAGGGGTTTGGGGGGAAGCTAACTGGTGTGTTTGGAGACTCTGGCTCCCTCCCTAGTGTCCGGCCCACAGACGGGGGCTTTATGGGACCTAGGGGCTCTGTTTGCAGGCTCAGGCCAGGACCCATGGCACCTAGATCAGATATACAAGACACAAAAGAATGATTCAGGGAAAAAAAAAAAAAATAAAATAATTCTACCTATCCCAGATCAGTTGGCAGAGGTATGCTTGGAGTCCAAACTTTGCTTCTTTAGTTTCGAACTGGAACGGTGAGGCTAACATTGGAAAACAAACACTAGAACTCAATTGTCAACCATATAGCCCAAAATTATGTCTGTAAAAAACAAAAATCACCCAAACTTCTTTCAACCCACCCAGACTGTATCCAGGACTTCATTAAGGTTAAACAGACTCCTCAATGTGGTTTAGGACACAGCCAACTTACTGTGAACTACAAAAATGGACAAAACTACAGGCAGCCACTTTAGACAAGGGCTGTATTCACAAACCACCTCAGAAATAGGAGTGCTGATCTAGAAGAAAACAAAAAAAAACAAAATAGCATTTGGACAATTATCATCGGTATGAACATATAAGATCCAAGATCACTTCTACGTTGTGAATACCAGCCCTGGTGTTGTCTGAAATGGCTGCACAAAGTGGTAAAGTTGTTCATTTCTATAGCTCATAGTTAATCATACTGTGCTCCAGTGGCAAACCACGACTAGAGCTAGGCCTTCAATTTGGGCCACAAAATGTCAAAACATTAATGGGGGTTCCATCACACCTTAAATAGTGTAGCAGTTACATTCTGGTGATTTAGGCATGGTATAGCAGTTAAATTCTGGCAAGTTTTAGGTGGGACAGAAAATTTGAAAAAGGCCATTCTAAATGAAACATTTGAAGCTTCTTTTTAAAAAAATAAATAAAAATTCAGGTTTTATTTGAAAGTTGTGACAGACATCAGCATATATTTTAACTTGTAGCCTTGTGGCAGTTTAACAGTTACTCTCATTAGACAGGGATGGTATAGACCTGCAACTGCCGTTTTCCGTTTCCAACAACCCACTGATCAGTCTGCCCTCGTATTGTCAGCAACACATCTAGGACTTCCAGGAAGCTTAGTGTGATGTTTTCACAAAAAACTGGTCCCAGCCATTGGAAATAAAACATGACTGGTTAATTCTATCAGCTCATATTTATGATAGTTTATCTAATGCGTTACAACTTTTGGTTAGGCCTTCAAGAGCTGACCAATAGAGAAGGTTTCTTAGCTGTATCAACCTAGACACCATGGAGAAAAGCAATTCTTGATTGGCCAATTTTCAAGAATTTAATCTTCGTTTTTATCCTGTACATAAAACAAGTAGTACTGTAATACTTGCAGAGTATAAATACAAGCATGATTCTACCAAATGAAATGAAGTAAAATGACATTTTTAGTTCCAAGAAATTATTAGGCCCTCTTTGGAGACCTAGAAGGACCTGTGGGTTCCCTTCTGCTGTGCTTATATTGACAAGTCTGCATGACTTTAATGAAGCCCTGGATGCAATCTGAGTAGGTTAAGAGAACTTTTGGGGATGCATTTTTACAGAAACTATTTGGGTGACTACTGGAGTTCTGGTGTTTGTTAGTAACGTTAGCCTCATAGCTCCAGGTCTAATCTAAAGAAGCAAAATTTGGACCTGTCTTTGCTGATCAACTACATTTGGGGCAAGTGGAGAGCTGGTTAATTTTTTTGCCAAACTATTTCTTTAACATCAGAGGCAAGTCAGGAGAATGAATAATGTTCATCAACTGATACAAGATCCAAAATATTCCAACATTTAATACCTTGGGGTAGTAGATTAGTCACACTGTGAGGTAGATCTCCCAGCATGTTAATACCTTGATGTAGAGGGAGAGGAGCGAGAGGATTTTCACCCAACAGTCCAGCCTGCTGAACAGAAACCACAGCATTAAGGGCTCTGAAACCTAACCCAATATGTGCAGCACAAAGTCAATGCTACAACACAACAAAGCAAACAAAGAAAATATTTCAGATCAGATTGAGGATGGGCATTTAGAAGAACTTTAACACCTTCATGGCTTCATAAGAGTGATCAATTTTAGTTTTAGAGAATACAAACAGATTGGTTGGTGTGTACAACTGCTTGTCCTGAAGCATGCAACAGGAAAGCTACAGGAAGTTTAGGTCTGTTGAGTTTTCCAGATTTTCCAGCCAAGTGAATTAATTTCAAGATAAACAGCCTAAAGAGAAAGAAATACCAACACCCTTTATTGCCCTTGTACATCCCCTTCTTTAAAGTCCTTTGGAGGTTTGGATTAACCACAATGCAATTATGGGCACGTCAACAATTTCACTTTTATAACAGGAAATGACCAACAACAAAATCAACTTTAATTACACACCCTGTCTCTGCTGTGATGGGACAACAAGCTACTGAGGATACACTGGGAAGATTTAGTATTTACATTACACATGTGCAGTGTAGACATAAATTGGCCTCTAATATCAGACCATAATGAATACACAGTATCTTTGTCTAGTTTTAGAAGTTATGAAAACTAACAATATTATGACTAAGTAACTTGAGTTTAATGTTTCTTTTTCCAACAATATCTCTGGTGTTGCACGTTTCATACTATTCAAAACAAGGACAAAAAAAATAAATAAATAAAAAAAAACATTGCCTTGAAGTCGTACGCACATGTCAGTCTTAAGACAATGCCACATTTACTGTTCTGCAGTTACTGGAGGGCTCCTTGTCCATGAAGACTTTAGCAGTCTCTTTGGAAGAATCAAACTATTCTTCGATACTACCTAACACACCACACCACACACTCAAAAGGGCCACTCACACAAAGTGGTAGACGGTTTTCTTTACTGTGCAGAATGTGTGCCCAAAGAAGAGGGTTTCCTAGAAGGGCTTGCTAGGAAGGGAGAATAGGAAGTGTTGAGTGAGAACTAGAGAGTAATGTTAAAGAATAATGAAGGTAACAGGAGGAACAAACAAAAGTAATGGGCTGGGGCATGAAATGCCACTCTGTACCTGCTGGACTTGGTTCTGAAGCAGCAGTTGCACCAGAGCTGCAGAGAGAGCTGGATTAGCTAAGAACGGCATTGCTGGGGCTGCACCAAGCAGACCTGAAAACAAGGACGAGTTCATCTCATCACTACACTACTTTGAACATATCCATACGCTACAGATGCATTAGTAGATGTGTTACCTTGTTTCTGCCCCTGGTTGAGAGGGTTCAGCAGCATCTTCAGGGTGGCAGGATTGCTCAAGCCAGAAAGGATCTGCATGGCATTGGGCTCAGGGAGGAGACCCTTTCCCCTGTTTAAAGCCTGTGGAGAGAGATATGGTGGAGGGCAGTCAATGACAGACAAATTCCATTAATTCGGGACTGATTTTGCACACAAAAGGGAAAGTACCATAGTCTGGGCAGCAATAAGAGCTGCCAGCATACTCCTGCCTGGTGGCCCTGGGGCACAGAAGGAGACACGAATGTGGGTTCCCCCTAGAAGCTTTCCATCTGTTAATCGTTGGACCTCTTCAGCCATCTCTGGGGTTGAGTACTCCAAAACAGCAAACCGCCGGAAACTGCCATCTTGGCCCTGAGCAAGCTATTATTTGGGGGAAGAGAAAACACAATTGAGCACAATATTTTAAATGGCGAGTGTCACTTCATCCATAAAGGAATCAGCCATCCCACTTCTAGAAATTTCTACCCCTTTCCTCCTGCCTTACTGATCTGAAGGGTTTTAGCTGATCCAGATCACTTTGCTAAGCTGAGCCAAGTTTATTGCCAATTCCCACGATCACTCACAGCTCAGTTGGTGAAAGATCATTCTCATTTAGCTCCTAAATCCTAAGCTTTGGAAACAGCATTCTAGAGAATTAGTAATGCAAGCTCAAGGGTTTTTATTTTATTATTTTTAAAACACATCCAGATTTAAAAGTTATTTATTTAGGCCAAGATGCCTAGATGTACTGTGGCTCATTTTCATGTTTTAAACTGTAAAAGACCACAGCCTTTAATTTCCAATGCTTTCTTTATATTCCCTTGTTAAAGCAATTGGATATATTTTGATGACTTTATACATAAAACCCTTATTATTATTATTATTTATTATAGACTTAAGTCAATGCTACAAAATCAGACATGTACAAAGTGAAAAAGTAACAGCCCAGGTAAGGCCAAATTAAAAGGCAAGTGAAAAATAAAGGAAACTCATTAAATGTCATGTAGTTTCCCCTAAACGACCCAAAAGCCCTCCTATTCAGATCTCTCTCCACTCACAGACTAGTAATTTACAGAAGTGTTTCCACAAAAGTGACTCAAATCTGACATTTTGGTGGTGCATTAACTTAGAGCTTAGTCAGTTAAGCAGCATAAACAGACCAGCACGATTATATACACACACACTGAGAGCACTGTTTGTTGCTGATTGCTTTACACCAAGTCCACCATCCTTAAAAGGCCAATACAACACTAAGAAAGGGACGAAACCCAGTGGGGACTAGAGACTTAAGATTCAGTAAAGAGAAATGAAGCAGCTCTAATAACCCTATATAGAGAGTTAAAAGTGGAAAAAAGGTTCCACTCAAAACATACCACGGCTGCACACCCACAAAAACACATACGTATGTACCCATGTATGTGAGGTAGTGTTTTAACATGAAAAAGCAAGCTGCTCTTTCCCATTCCAGAAAGGCCCATGGGCCAGAGGCCTGCTGACTGACAGCACCTGGCTCAGTCAGATGGTCATCACCACGGAAACCATCAATGCTCAATGCTAACTGAAAAGCAGGGCAAAGGTGAGGGGCCTAGAAATAAAAAATTACAGGGTCATGTGCCACACCTGTGCCCTCAGACAAAGGGCAAACTAACTTCTGCACTTCTTAAAAAACAAGAGTAGAAACTAGAAACCATTGGAACACGTCAAATGGAGTTATTTAACAAAGGACAAAATATATTAGAAAGGTTAATAGATTTCATATCAAAACAGCAATTTGAAAGAGTGCCACTTTTAATCTGCAAGAGATGCAATTTCAACCAAAGCCTACACTACCTACAATATTGTGTTACCAAGTTTTAAGTGAAGAAAGCTCAACGTTATTAGTTGGATTATGATCAGATTGTAAATGAATTACACCAATCAGAAGCAACCAAATGTGTGTGCTGTGAGACAGCATAATCTCAACCAACTGGCTATTCAGCACACTGCATTTAGCTTAAGGTTTAAACGAACAAATAAATAAATAAATAAATAAATAAATAAATGAAAAAAAAAAAACCTTGGCAGCCTCAGACCTTACTTTACAGAAAATAATCATATTACATAGTTAAAATGAATTAATACCTACCAAATGTCACATCACCCAACATGTTATAACATTCAGTTTTGTGCATGTGTGGGAATACTACTGTGTTACCAAGCTTTGCATGAAATCAATAAAAGAGCAACAGGTTTTTAAACCAACAGGGAATGAGGTTTACCATTACTAGGGGGCAGTTACTTTGGCAATTCAGCAAAGCAGGGCAGGCACCATTCCTTGAATAAAACAATTACTCCATTAAAAAAAACCAAAAAAAAAAAACAATAAAAATCTATTAAATTCTACATTGAAACCCATGATAATTTTAACAATACTTATGATGCCTGCCATTCATTATGAATGAATCCACATTTAGCAGGCGCAACAGCATTCCTCATTAACGCTCTATTTAAAATATCTAATGTCTTTTTTGGACCAACTGTTTAACATGGAGGGATGTCTCCCACTCTGCAAATGTGCAGGCCCTTTCGCCTAAAGCTTTCTTCACATGATACAGCAGAAAGCACCGCAAGATGTCGCAAGACTAGTAAGACTAAAATATAAATCACTGGCATGCCAGTAAACATAGTAATTAAAAATATATAGGATGTAGGATGTCTATAAAGCAAAATGTGTATATGAAGAAAAAGACCTCATTGTCAAGGCCAGGGAAGCCCAAACTTTGTCTTGGGGTGCCTAATTGCAATAAAAAAAACAATTTGATGCTTAATTGGTCAATTAAGCAAACAATTGTTAGTTTCAGGTCCACATAAAAAGGTTAGCAGGACAGGCATACTGAAGAAACACGAACCTGACAGAAGATTGGAGCAGGCGTGTCGGCCAGGGCGTTGCGAAGGTCCTGAGCAGTGAGGAGGCTTTGAGGTAGGCGGTCCACACAGAGGCAACGTGAGTGCAGCATGGGGTAGGTGAGCGAGCCAACTTCCGTCCAATGCACGTACAGCATGCGCGAGCCAAGCTGCTTCCCCAGCAGTTCCGATTTGGCTCGGGCCGCCGAGTCCTTCTTCATGTACTCCACAAAGCCATAGCCCTTGGAGTGGCCCGTAGTGGCGCTGTGCACCAAGAAACAGCGCTCAAGGTTTCCAAAGGGCCGGACCAGCTCCTCAAACTGCTGCTGTGTAAAGGCCCTGGGTAGGTTGGCAATGCAGAGCAAAGCATCTGTGGGCTGCAGCTGCACAGAGATCTCCCGATCACGCAGAACATACTGGTGGAACTCTTTGATCGCACACTGGGCCTGCTCGCCATTTAGCAGTGTGACAAAGGCTGAAAGAAATCATAAGCTGCAGCTGAGCAACAGAACAGATGAGCAAAACCTGATCATATGAGCCTTAGAGACAAAGTGTTATCCAAAAATGCGGCAAATTAGGGGCAGCGATACTGCAAAACATAGTATCGTGATACTCAGTTTTACAATAAATAGTTTTTCCTGAAGTTTGATAAGTTGGGACAGAGAGGGGACAAAAAAAACAAAAACCACACACACACACCAACAGTTTGACATTAAAAAATTGCTAAGTAGTTTTTTGCCCAATGTTTTAAACTAAATTCAGATAAACAGGTCAGAGTTACACATGCTGCTTGTCATTGTTAAGTACTGACAATACCCATAAGTTCACTAAAAAAAAAAAAAATGAATTTGTATCATACTGCCTAACCTCCTAAATGACCTGATCATTCAGTAGTTGTTCTTTCAATTACAAAAAGTTTCCTTTTTGCAGTTATTCATATTAACTATAAAAGAAAACTGTCAAAAATGACAAAATGACATTCCTTTTAATGACTGTGTGAAACCATGTCTTGTGCCTTTAGCCAAGTGGTTTTTCACAATGGCAAATGTATATAGGGTAATGTGGAGGTACACTAAACTGTATAACAGCAGCTGTGACTGCTGTTAGGCTGTAGTGTTCCATAAAACAAAAATAAGTGGACTTTTGTTATAAATAACATCACTAACTTTCACTGCAAGTAGTCTCTGAGCACACATAACGTGATGCTGTTAGAGGGTCAACGCAGAAGGAAACAGAGTCAAGCATTAATTTATGCAACACTGTTTCTAAACAAAATAATAATAATAATAATAATAATAATAATAATAATAATAATAATAAACAATAATGTTAAAATCATTTAAACCTTATATTTAATTGAAAATAGTACACAGACAAAATATCAAATGTTAAGACAGAAATTGTTATGAAAAATAAATACTCATTTTAAACTTGATGCCAGCAACAAGTTTCAAAGTTGGGACAGGGGCATGTTTACCACTGTGTTGCATCACCTCTTTCAACAACACTCTATAAGCGTTTGGGAAAGGAGGAGACCAACTGCTGTAGTTCTGAAAGTGAAATGCTTTCCTATTCTTGCTTGATACAGGATTTCAGCTGCTCAACAGTTTGGTTTTCCTTGGTCGTATTTTTGTTTCATAATGCACCAAATGTCTCCAAAGGGTGACAGGTCTGGACTGCAGGCAGGCCAGTTTAGCATCCAGACTTTTTACTACAGAGCCATGCTGTTTTGGCATTGCCTTGCTGAAATAAAAAAGGCCTTCACCGAAAAAGATGTCTGGATGGCAGCATATGTTGCTCCAAAACCTGTATATATCGTTCAGCGTTAATGGTGCCTACACAGATGTGCAAGTCACAAATGCTATGTGTACTAACGCACCCCCCCAATACCATCACAGATGCTGGCTTTTGAAATGATAAGCAGGATGATCCCTTTCCTCTTTAACCTGGGGGACACGGTTCTTGATTTCCAAAAAGAATTTTAATTTTTGATTCGCCAGACCTCAGGACATTTTTCCATTTCGCATCAGTCCATCTTAAACAAAATTATGTCTGTTTTTAAGGCAGTGCCACCTGAGGGCCCGAAGATCAAAGCTAGCCAATATTAGTTTTTGGCCTTGTCCTTGGCATACAGATTACTCCAGATTTTCTGAATCTTTTAATGACATTATGTATGATAGATGATAAAATCCCCAGGTTTTTGCTATTTTACACTGAGAAACATTGTTCTTGAATTATTCTTGCACTTTTCACCCAATCTTCCAAAGTAGTGAATCCCTTCCCATCTTTAGTTCTAACGGAACCTCTCCATGATGCCCTTTTTATACCCAAACATGTTAGTGATTTGTTGACGATTAACCCAATTAGTTGTGTGATGTTCCACCAGGTATTTTAGCATTAAACAACTTTTACCAGACTTTTGTTGCCCCTGTCCCAACTTTGACACCAAATTCACTGGCACCAAATTCAAAATGGGCAAATATTTTTAAGTGTTCTGTTTCAACATTTAATATGTTGTCTTTGTACAACTAAATTTAGGGTTTAAATGATTCACTTCATCGAATTCTGTGTTTATTTACAGTTTGCACCCTGTCCCAACTTTTTTGGAAATGAGGTTGTAAATTAATAATAGCTTAATAAGTCAATTAAAAAAAAACAAGAGACTTACAGAATAAAAAAAAGGTAAAGGGTGGTGAATTTTAGCTACTGCTTTACACCAAACTGCCCACTCAGCTCAAGTATTGTGGTAAGCAAAGAACATACCTGTTCCTTTGTATTTGTCAACAAAGCAGTACTTCAGATCATAGTTGCTTAACAGCTCATGCACTTCCTGAAAAGAATAAAAAAAAAAATAACAAAAAAAAGGTAAAAAAAATAGGGTTAGAAAATGTTTAAACTGCATTTGCTTCCAAATTACCAAGAGCAGTGCAGTTCAGGCTGTGTGGGACACACAGCTCATTTCAGCATTATGGAAGCCTATTCCTGCCAGGTAGGGGAAGAATCGAAACGATACCTTATTGTCTCAAATCACTGACATAATATCTTAAAATAAATACTTACTTCAAGATATAATAATGAGTTAAATTTCAATAAAGGTAAAGTCACCGAGTTAAAAAAAAAAAATTCATTTCAACAAAGTGCATCAATACTATGGGAAAATAATTATTTCAAAGTATCATGTCAAAATTTGGACAGAGTACTGCCATAAACATTGAGAGAACAGAACAGTGAGGTGATTCTCTTTTCTACCTGGCAGGAATTGACTTCCATACGTCACACCTACTACAGACTATAGGAAAGGAAAAAAAGCCCAGTTATTTCACTCACACGCACGCACACACACACACACACACACACACACACACACACACACACACACACACACACAAAAAGACAGTTCAATAGTTCTTTAGTAAATGGAAGCGTTCTATTTGTTCTATGAGTTCTGGACAGAACCATTTCAAGCTTAAATGGTTCTTTGCTTGGTGAAAAGGTTTTTCAGATTGATGGAGAATGTGTTGTACGTGGTTCTACACAGAACCTTTTTTCAAATTATTCTATATAACACTGAAAAAGGTTCTTCTATTGTTACGATATCAGGCTTGTAACAACAGAAGAAACCTTTAGCGCTATATAGAACTATTTTCAAAAAGGTTCTACACAAAACCATTTACAACACTTTTTACCAGTGTACACCCAGCAAACAGGTAACAAGCGGGCCTGTCAGCGATGAAAGATTTGCTAAGGTAAAATGCTTAAAAGCTTCCTACGCGTTACCACAATGCCGTCGAGCACTTTCTTTGTAGTGTAGCTGAAAACAAATCGGTTTTGTCAAAGTGCCTTCGACCTTTTGTCGTCCCCCCTGCTCCCATTCCCATCTCCAACTCCCAAAAGCGCGCTCCCACAATGCCGCGCGCGCACCACCGTTCCCCGCGAATCAAGCACTTTCCTAAAATAATGTGTTATCACCGCTCAGACTACATAAACGGAGAGAGTCCTTTACCGCCTCGTATCACGGTGAGCACACTTTCAAAGACGGGATTAGTTAAACCTAAAGTCGGTTTAACATGGTAATTCACTCACGGGCTGCATTTCGCTGACGCTGATTCATGGCAACAAACTAAAGAGCAGCTCGACCAGCCACTTCACTGCTAACAGTTCCCCACTGACTTTAACGCCAGCCAGCTGAAGAGTGTGTTTCACAATATGTGGCCAGTTCGAAATAATAACAACAACGTCACACGAAGCACATTACATGTTTTGATAAATAATGAACAACTATCTCGAGCGAAGTGCTGAGACTCGCCGAGCACGCCAGATGGGTGGATGGCTTCAGTGCGCAGCGTTAAACTAGCTCGGTCAGTTAACTTCCCACCTGAGGGGAACCTCGCAACAGTACAACTGAAACACCACACATTCACACGCCCAGTCGAGTCAGTTAACGTTAGCTAATAAAGTTACAAATTAGTCTAACATGTGAAAGACCTGCTCAACGACAGCAGCAGCAGAGCCCCAACCTGGTGAGGGCGCTTCAGTCAAACTATCGGGGCTAACCGGGTTAGCCTACGTTAACCCGTTAAGCTCAGCTGGTCCGCTCCACACGAGGCCAACACATCCAAACAACTGGCCCGGGTGGACTCTCCCTGTTTTAGGATATGATGGACAAGAATAAGTAGCTGTAATTAGTTTTGTTTGCGACGCTATTCCACCCAGCACATCACTGTCACCGTACACTGCACCGCTAGCTAGCGCAGTGAAAGTGAATGTGCTTACACACTCCGGCAAACACAGTTGGCTTAGCCCAGCAAGTTTCCCCTCTCTATCCATCCGTCCCATTGTGAGATGCTAGCTAACGTTAGCCAACTCACCCCCTTCTACACCTTGTTTTCTAACTAGATGAACAAGGCAAAAGTTCTTCTAATTTGTTAGCTAGCCAACTACAGATACTTGCCTGATTGCTCACATCGGCGGGGAGGTTCTTAATAATGATTTTGCGGCGATTGTAAAACTCTCTTCGAGTCCTTTCCAAACGATTAGCAATTTCTTCGGGGCTGAGAGTTGTCAGTTCATCGTCGACCCTCCGAGGACATTCGTTGCCCGCGGACGAGTCTTCATCGTGGCGATCTGCTTCGGTATCTCTGCTTTCCTCAGCAGCCCAGTTCTCCGGTTTGGCTTGATCATAATGCTCGTAGAATGGACGGGTAGTGAAACTGGCACCAGCATAGTTCTTTTCGTCTCTGGCAGCTCTGCTAACGGACACGGCGGCCGCCATGGCTTCGTGTGGAAGTTTCCTCGCTCGGAGTTTCTCCGTTTGCTTTGGGCAGTTTAAACAATACACACACAGGGCAAACTCGGCCGCTCATTGGCCGAGAAGAGAATGCGTATCTCCTCACAGCGTTGGGGGCGGGGCCAACGTGTCACATGACCATTTTAAATCGATAACACGCAGGGCTGCCATGAGTCGATTTGTAATAAAATGTTATAGTGAGGCAATAAAGGACTGTAACCATAATACCATAATAGTTTACTAACAGGTGCAACGTCATTACTTCTGTGTATACTACAAAATGATTTAGTAACTGGGTTACTACGGCGATTGAAATAAACGCGAGGTAAATAAAGGTTTCTGGTTCAGCCTTAGTTTTTCTTTAACAGTTACGTGATTAGGCTTCAGTCCTTGACAACATTAGATCCATTAAAGAAGCACGATTTACAAGTACCATTTCCTTAAAGTCGCATTTATGGGAGTCATATGATAAAAAGGATTTTGGCAAACCATGAACCTCTTTTAAATCCGCATTCTATAAATTTAAACCATAGTTAAGAGGATCACAATATTTAAAAATAATGACTAAATAAAAATTGATATAGGTACCAGTTACATAAAATGTGGTTATTTAATTAGTGAGTTCATGTTAGAGCCTAATACTTACACTTCATGGACTACTGGTAACTTCTATAGAGACAAACTGAGGGATCAAAAAAATACCAGACTGAGCAATGACCTTTATTTAAGGCATCGTTTTTGAACGGAGCTGAAGATTTTTAGCAAACTGACAAGAACATTCAAAAGCAATCAAATGCAGTGCTAGTATTTTTTTCCACTGTAATGGTATGATGTTAGTCATCCCAGACATGACTAGGGGAGTGTTTGATAATTCTGTTAAACTGGTTTCCTCAGGAGGCTATAATAGAGGCATAGGAGACATGAGCATTAGGCTTTTAGGTTTCAAAATTTTAGTTTTCAAACTGCCAAGGTGGCACTTGTACAGAATGTGTACTTTGAGCATTCTAAGTGTATAAAATTGTTTTTGAAAGAAGAAATTTTACTTAAAATAAACAGGACATGGTTCTCCAGTGAACTGGACAACAACGTGTTAGATGAAAACAGTTCTCTCACCACTACCAGAACAAAATGGCATAAAAAAAAACAATCGGTAGGTATTTATTTCATATGTATGTGATACGACATGAATCATATAACTCTGAGCTTTTGCAGTTTTGAAATACATATTTTAATTGATGCCCTCTATTCCTCCGTTTAGGACTGTGTTTCCTGAAAACATTGTTGAGCAAGCACCGTGAAAAGCAGGGAGAGAGGGTTAAAAATGATAGTCTCTCTTTCATTTCACTATGGTAAGTGTTCAGCGACGCTTTTGGGAAACACACCCCAGGCTTGTTTTACCAAATCACTAAATACATTCTTATAAGAAGTGCCTGGGGTGCTCATGGGCATCTCACTACAGCTAAAGTTGTTTATTGTTCATTAAGAGATGATGATACACACATTTTTACAAAAGAAGAAAATAAATACAATTAAAAAATATTCAGGGACAGTTTAAAGATTCACAGAACAATTCTGAGTTTCTAACTAACATAAGGTGCAGCTTGGCAAAACAGTCTCAACTATTAAGCCCTTACAGGAAAAAGTTACTGACTTTGGTTTACATTTGTTGGGATTTAATTATTGATCCAATCTGTGACCACATATTAAAAAAAGAAACGAACAAAACAGAAAAGAAAGAAAGCAAAACAAATTCAGTATGACATTTAAGGCAGGTCTGGGAAATGAACAAATGAACTTGCAAGATAAAACAAAACTGCATAAAAAAAATCTCTATTTACAACACATGTAGTCACATTGAGACACGAACAAGGTTCTGTCACTGAACAGACTTTGGTTAATTGGTTTAAAGCAAAAGTGTTGACTTAAAGAGCACCTAAGGAGCAGAGTGGCTTAATTTGTTATTATAACAATGAAGCAACATCTGTTCTATAAGCAATGCTAACAACAGGGTCGCGTCATCAGTACAGAGTGTTGTGGTTATTCAGTGCAAACCTGGCAAATGTCAGAAAAGTGGTCAGCGATGGTTAATCTGAGCAAGCCGAACGATAGGCTGTTGCTCATATGTCCGGCGAATATCCTCCAAAGACTCAGCAAGGGACTTGAATGTTGGACGTTGGGCTGGCGCAAAATCCCAGCATTGTTCCATTAACATGTACACCTATAATTTTGGCAGGATATCTAATCAGTACAGTGTGCAAAAAAGTGTAGATCTGAATGTGAAATGGAATGTGTTTTCAGAATTTTACTCTACCTCATGTGGGCAGTCCCGGGGGCAGGGCAAACGCCTGTGTTTCTCCAGGAGGTTAATCAGTTTCATCACAGTCATCTGACCTTGCACCATCCCCATCATCTCAACATATTTCTATTGAAAGTGCAAGCAGGTAAACATTCATTACTCTGTTCAATATACTGTATGCTCTACACATCTACTCAATTAAACAGAATAATAGAACAGCCATTAGGTTTGTGAAACGTGAGAGGATTGAGGTAGGCAAAGGTCTCTCACCGTAGGTGGACTCTGACGATGGTCACAGCGTGTCAAAATCTCATAGAGCGTCACACCAAAAGACCAGACATCAGAGGAAAAGGAAAACTTACTTTCCTTCAGGCACTCTATGGCATACCTGAAAAGTTAAAAAAAAAACACTAGGTATAACCAACATTTCTTTTGGTTCTTTCTTCATTTAACAAACCTGCTGCTAATGAGACAAAAAGTCTATTTTCCAAGAATTGACAAGATTACTTGAAAGTAGACCATCTCTATCACCAACCATCACTTAGAGCCCTTTCATTATAATGTCTTTTCTGGGCTGTTCAAACTGCAGTTAGCATGCCTTTGTTATAAAGAAATTTCAGAATAGCTTTTCTGCATTATGATCTTAATTTCCTCACAATAAATCTGTTTTATTAATATAGATAAATATCAATGTTGTTGTATTCTGAATCAAACGTTCTTGTGATGATCCACTCAATCTGTTCACCAAAACTAACCAGAACACAGGACTGTCACCATCCTCCCGTACACGATAGTAGATCTCCCCCTCAGGAATGTACTTTGTCAGTCCAAAGTCACCAATTTTGACCACACCGTCATTCTCTACGAGAACGTTACGAGCAGCCAAATCTCGATGGATGTATCTTTTTGAGTGCAAATAATCCATTCCCTATCATTAAAAAAATGGTAGTACTGTTTACATGATGACTATGTAATTCATTTCATAAGTTACTTCAGTAAGGGAGACATGAATTACTTATTTGTTTGATTTGTTTGATTATATTTTGATGATTATATTTGTCAATTAATTAGTGTTTAATCTGTCTAACTGACCTGGCAGATTTGTTGGGCAAAGAGCAGATTCTGAGCAACTCCCAGGCGGTGTTTGGGCAGGTACTCTCGAAGGCTGCCCAGTGGAAGATACTCCATGATCAGCTGAACCACCTGCCCACCTGTAATACCATACAGACATGTATCATTACACAAACACTTATCATCTGGCAGGTAGATGGTAGCGATGTAGCCAATGAGCTCCATTACAACACCACTCACCCAGTTCAGTACAGCAACCCTTGTACTTGACAATGTTGTTATGATACAGCGATTTTAGAATTTCAATCTCCTTCATCCAGGAATCATGAAGATGATTGCCTCCCTCTTGTTTGAGGGTTTTCACTGCCACATACTCTCCAGTGCCATCATTAGCGGGGTCATACACATACAGCATGACTTTCCCAAAATGACCCTGAAGACAGAGCACCAGAGAGTTAAAAGAAAAAATAAAGTGCAAAGCAAAAGTATTGAATACACTTTCAGACAGTAGCATCCAACCTCTCCCAAGTCTCTGATCTTCTTCAGGTGACGTTTAAGGAAAATACTGGGATCTCTGTCCGGAAGTGCCTCACAGTCCGAAGAAATGTCCGGGTCTGTTATTAGTAAGCAAAAACATCACATTACCAGTTTTTGAACAAAGAATGTTAGGCCTTATTTAATTGAGGATCGAGCTAATTCAGTTTAAGCCGGGTCAAAAACAACCACTGGAAATTATGCAATGCAATGCAATGTAAAAAAGAAGACCCACTCTTTAGCTGTATCTCTGTCAGCTCTCGCAGAATGGTCCTGAAGGATGGTCTGGCTGCAGGGTCATAAGTCAGGCACATACTTATGAAGCTCGCCAGCTCCTGAGACGAAGGCACTGCCAAGCGACTCTGGGTCTCATAGAAACGCTCTTTCTGTTAATGACAAATTGTTTACAGTAGGGTTATATACGTTCACATAACACAGGCAGATGGTATGTAAAGCATATGAATAGTGTACCTCTGGTAAAGTACTGCCACTCATGGCTAGATCTCCGTTGTTGCAGATTTCAAGCAGCGTGGCTCCAAAGCTCCATTTATCCGCCGCGCTGCCTATTATAGCCCCACAGGGCACACACTCCGGTGCAATCCATGGAATGCGCTCTACCCGCTCTACAGGTACAACAGAGAAAACAGAGAGAGAGTGAGAGAGAGAGAGCGAGAGAGAGAGAGAAAAACACTCACTCGACCCTCTGATAAAACAGGTCAGATGCCTCCCACGCTACATCAGTCAATGCAACATTATTAAATGTGCAAGACAGACGGAAGTGAACGCCACCATCAGGAAGTGGTTAGCATTTGGCTTCCTGTTCCACCATCAACTATAAAAAATGAAAAGCAATCTGATGAAGTAAACAGAGTGAAAAAATGAAAGCAGGGTAACTGGATAGTCATGTCTCAGCTAGAAAAGGAGACCAAATCAGAAAGCTCCTCAAACCAGTAAGGATTTCATGATGGTCCATTTTACCAGATTATCATATTGCCTTAGAAGAGTCTTGACTTGGTTTCACTTGGCCAGTTAATTAGGAAATCCTACTTTGTTAAATCCGGTTTACTACAGAAAATAATAAAGGTGTTTGACTGATGTCCTGTACCTCCACGTGAGAGGGCAGTGAGAGCTATGCCCGGGTCACTCAGCTTCACAAATGGAAACGTTCCCTCTTCAAGACCCCTGCGTGCGACTAGAATATTCTTTGCACAGACATTTCCATGAACCAAGCGCTTTGTTTCCTGCAAGGGAAAAAATATAGTAAATACTAAAGTAATATACTGTAAATATGCCATGCTATAACTATTAAGGAGGGCATTTCAGATTTTGCAAAGCAGATACAGCAGATAGACACTGAATTCAGCAGAATTATATTTGATCTGATAACTACTGAAGAGCTTACAAGATAGCAAAGAGCACTGGCCAGTTGTTTTGCCACAGTAAACTTCCACTGAGGAGTCACACGGGCTTTTTCTTTATGCAGGAAGACATCTAAAGGGCCGAACTCAACAAACTCCTCCACCATGATGTCTGTCCAGAGAAAAAAAAGCAAAATTTGTAAATGCAATTTGAACAGAATTAAATTTGGGGTGCTGTTCTACAGGTATGGGACAATTTGATATTGTCACAAAAGGTACACCTTGTGAATTGAGAAGCCTCATCTACAGTGCTACAAAGTTACTAAGAGAATGGGGGGAATAAAGCAGGTACATTCAGGTTTATGCTGGAAAAATGGCCTAGGCAAAAGAGGAATCCCTAAAAGGGCAGGTCACTCACTCTCAGATCCCTTGACTGAAACACCATGCACAAAAACCAGATGACAGTGAGACACCTGACTCATAAGGCTAGCTGTCTCGAAGAATGCCTGCAGGAGAAGTTAACAGAAAATAGTTAATAGAAAACTTATGATTCTTTAAAGTTAAATGACCACATTTCTGTGCCTTATCAGGCACTGACAAGGAAACAGTCCTCACCAGAGCTATGTCCTTGTGGCTCTGGTCCAGGATCTTGAGAACCACACGGATGCCTTTGCTATTTGTGTGGTTGTTGTTCCATTCGTCCTCATCTTCAGCTCCACCACGTACCATCAAACGACCCGAGTAGATGTTGGTCCTTGTGCCACGGCCCAAGTGCTGCTCCTAAGAAAGAAAACACAACATGGTCTAAAACACTATATAAAAAAAATTATGCCGTCTTATCCACAAAGTGATGGTGTGGCTGTGGGTTTTAATTCCAACAAAACAAGCGCTTGTTGAAGACTGAGACCAACTGTGGAATGGGGTGTGCTCCTGCTTCACTGGAATGAAAACCTGCAGCCACACCAGCCCTATTCTGATAAAACTGGACACCCCTACCATAGTGTATCAAAAAGAGATCTGTAAAAGTGGTATGTGATAAATATGAGTGTGTTTTGAAGCATTAAGGGGTCAGGCAATTCAATCAAGATAGGCAAGTGATGCTTAGTGAGGCTAACCTGTGTTATTTCTTTGTCTTTAATCTGATGGAACCTGAGTTGACACAGGTTGAGGGTTTCTGACACAGGTCTGGCATTGCTGTTCATGCTCTGTCTCATGACCAGTAGGTTAGACAATTCTGTAATGCAAGCACACTGGGATAAATAATAGCAAGATAATAAACAAAAGTAGGGGGAAAGGGTACAGACATAAACACTTCTATCTGGAAATGTTCCTTTATCAGGAACGTATTTTGCAGAAAGACAGTAACACTACTATACAACACCTGCAGGTCTGGGCAGGCAGCACTTCTTGATTGTGAAGCAGTCTTGGCCAGACTTGAGCACAAAGGTCTTCAGGCTATCTGTGAGCTCCTTGACACTGGAGAACTCTTTCTCCCAACCCTCAAGTGTAAACATTGAGCCTTTTTGCATGATTTTGAACTGCTTATGTGTTGCATTGTATCCATCCTACAATCACAAACATGCCCATAAACACTTACAAACCATTTTACACAAATACTTAACACATCTGTAACAGCTATTTGTGTTAAATAGAAGAAGAAGAAGAAGAAGAAGAAGAAATATAGAGCTTTTCTCATGCCCAAAGTCACTTTGCCAAAGCATCATAAACATATAATCACATATAAAAAAACATCAACAACAATAACAACTGGAGAAAATGAGAGAGACAGTATTAACTGGAGTGAGGAGCAGAATGAAAATATTGAGAAAAGAGGTAAATTTTAAGATCTAAATTAGGAGAGCTCTAAATTAGGAGAGTGAAGAGCAAAGAGTCAAAGCCATGACACTGAAAGATCTGACCCCAGCAGTGACTAATCTGAATTTTAGGACAGACAGGAGTCCAGTGTCAGAACATATATTTGGGCAAGACAGTAGGGATGTGGGAAAGCGGCTAAATGGAGGGGTACAAAACCACGTAGAGATTGTCCATTTAGCAAGATGAGTTTAAACTGGAAGCTTAGTGGGACTGTTAGCCAGTGAGAGAGAATTCTAGCAGCTGTATTTTGAACATACTGGTTTTGTCTGGAACACAAATGAAAAGGGAGTTGCAGTATTTCAAATGTATGTGTTTATCCAACGTCTAAGATCCTAAATACAGGATATTAGGGCAAAGGGTTGCCAGGGTAGTGGCAGCTTTGGTGCTCATATTAATCTGAGCAGTGAAAATGAAAACCATGTCAGCAAATAATCTGACCGAGAGGAAACATGTAGGATGAACAGGAGAGGGCCCAGGACTGATCCCTGAGGAACCCTTTCTGTAATTAAGTCTGAATGTGTATGCAGCACATACATGTTTATTCATCACACATTACATTCTTCGAGGTTTCAAAGACAATGCAAGGCAATGTTAACAATGTTAATTTTAACCAGTGATTAACCTATCAGAAAACTATGTTTAGATGTTTAAAAAAAAAAAACAATGTTTAAACTGTCTCTTTCCAATATTTTGGATGTTTTTTAGGGTTGCAAGGAGTAGGATAAACAGTACCTGAGCCCTACTCAAAACCGCTAGTATAATGCGATGGTAGTCAAGAACACTCCAGCGAAGTATGTATGCGCCTTCTTCCATTGCTTCTTTCTTCAGTTTGTGTAGCACAAACTCGTCGCTAAAAAGAAAGACATATGCACTTCAGCACCATATACGAGTATGCGTCATGTTTCTCATATTGCATGTGTAATGGACACGTACAGTATGGGGCCATGAAGACCATTCGCCTCACTAAGAACCACTCTTGGTGGTGCTACCTCATGGCAGAGGTAGTGATGTGCGTCTGCGGTCAGGCGGAAGTACCCATCGAGCAGAGAGACCAGAGAGCGAGCTTCAAGGCTGGACCTCAAACGCAGGTCCTGCAATACAATATGGTCATATCCCACATTGAGATTTCAAAAGAAAAATTTTAGTTTTCTCTACTCTATGTCAAGATTTTGAAACAAGCATTTCAGGGAGAAGTGCATTAAGCATTTGCTTATAATTTAAAATAGCAACATAAACATTTTTAAAGGTTCATAATTTTAAAAGCATTTTATTTGTCCTCTCTACCCTGATAAAATTAAGCATACCAGTGTGTGTAAATGGGTCTTACCATTGCAAAGTTGTCTTGCCGACTGATACAGACATTTGCCCCCATTGTGGCAATGTGTGAGATTTCAGGGAAGTCACAGAAGACATTCCAATTTTCTGGGGGGTCAGCCTCTTGTTGAGGCACCTGTTGCCTGTCTTGTCTCCCGTTATCCAAGTAATCATTACCCATGTAGTTATTCTCACAAGCCTGCAACATAAACTGAAATTAGACCAGGACTCAAAACTACTCTTGCCAACCAGCAGCAAAGTTTAAACCTACCCTCTGTGCTGAGATCTTCCTCCATTGGATGCCTGTGGTCCCAGACACCATAACCTCGTGCTTTGGCTGGCTGCACATGAGCTCCTCCGGGGGCTCATGTGCTCGGGAAGCATTCAGGTATGAGCCGCTTCCATCTCCATGGGGCCTCAAGTCTAAGTGGAAAACGGGGAAGGTCTCAGTGCCAAATCGGGGAGCCAGGCGCTCCAGGGTGGACAGGTACTTGTACATGACCTCCTGTGAGCCCAGCCTGCCCTGGCCCACTGTGTGCTGCTGGAAGCTACGGACGAAGTCAGAAAACACTCGGCGGATGCGGAACTTGGTCAGGAAGTTGTCCCGGGCAATTTGCCGAGAGAATGAGCGGGGGATGCAGCGGAGGAAGCTGGAGGAGATTAATATCCAACACAAACAAATGAGCAGGCTTGGCACATTAATCACAAGCTACCTTCCAGCTACTGTGCTCTGCATTTCATTCACCAATTCATTTGTTTCATTTTGACCTAAGGTAAATTACAGTCATCAACACAACCCACTCTACATGACTGTATATGTGACTTTTGAGTCAACTCTATCACTTCCTCCTTGGTCAGGAGCTAATCTGTTTTGATTTCTTTTTCTGACATTTAAATCTCTAGACTCTTTTCACAAATAACCTTCTTTCACATTCTGTACTGCAAAAACAAAGCTCACACCTGGTCTGATTGGCCACTTCCTGTAGAGAGGAGCCATTCTGCAGAGCCTTGTGAGACAAATGCAGCACGGCCATGCCCAGGCTCTCGTTCTTAAAGCAGCTGCGCTCCACTTCACCCTTCACATCCTCCAGTGATGCCACATCGTTCACAAAATCACACTTTGCCTGTGGATGGTGAAAATAATTACTAAAAGAATAGAGATAATCTTTATTTAGCTTTTGTACAGCGATAGTGAAAATGTTTTTTTTTTTAACAAAGAATCAGAGATTCTCGCTCATCATGTGTGTTTCCAGATGTTTAGATGTTTAAAGGTATGTCCTGGGTCTTCAAAAAACAAAACCATAACCTTGCCAATAAATTTGCCCTAAGTTGAAAGAAAGAGTCAGAGGTCTTTTGCCCCTCTCAATTTGAGACAGGCCTAGACGTGCTACATAGAACCTGTATTCACTCACTTGATGTAACATTCTGCAGCTCTACTACTACTACTTTATTAATATCAGCTTTACACACTGAAAGCAAAAATGAAACACTGTTGCTCTTAATACTGTAATAAACTCTTGCGACAAATAAACTGAGATACTCAAGTTCAAATTTACTCTATTATTAAAAATAAGTGTAAAAAACTCAATTCCTTTTAGACTAAAGCCCTATTTGGACAGGATTATTTTACCATAACGAGGTGGGGTAATGCCAGTTTACCACAGGACGTTTGTAATGTTTATGACCGAGTGGCATGATAAATCAAAACAACAAATGTTAAAACTTTTAATACAGTCATTATTTTGTTTACTCTAAGGTGAACCTGAGGTTATTTCTACTGCTTGTTTTACAGAATATAAAGGTGCCCGAATCTCAAAGTGGGAGCGTGCAGTTGGTAAAAATTACTGACACAGCGCAGTCAGATGGGACTAAAATCACTGAGAAACATTGGTAAAATTTATATTACCCCACCTCTCCATGTTAAACTTATCCTGCATGAATAGGGCTTAAGAATACTTTTGAAGCTCACCTGAGCAAAGAGGTATTCCAGAGATGTGATCTCTAACAGAGGTGCGCCCCCTTGCTCATTCCCAGTTCGGAGCATATAGCGAGCCACTGCTGACTCCTTCTCATTCAGTCCATGCCAATTCCGAAAATAGAACCTGCACATCACAAGTTTGAGGCATACGAAATGTTAGTATTTGCTTTGCTCTGCATTTTAAAAATATACTAAAGCTCAATCCACATAAAGTTGTGCACTCCTTGCACCTTCAAAGGCATGAACCGAACCAAAAAAAAACAAAAAAAAACACAGACCTCATGCGAAAGTGAAGTATCAGGCTCGACTGGTTCTCTGGGTTGAATTTGTGATTAGGACTGTACCAACAGCATGATGACGGGTCATACAGTGCAAACAGCGCATGGCAGACTGGTGTGATCCCTGTGCGAGACAGCGAACATGATTACATGCCTCTCAGAAAAAGCAGAAAAAAGCTCAGGCCCCAACGCTCAGGCACATGCAAATGCTCTTACCAACAACCTCCGCTGCCTGGATCGAGAGTTCCTCGGCAGTCACTTCACCATCCTGATGGGTCAAATAGGAGTCTCCACCTTTGGTCCAGAACAGATACACATGAATCCCCGGCTTCTGGGGTGCCTCACACTGCTCTGTGGACACCCCATGCTTTGTACTCTTGAAGCATCCACGTCTAGGCATCCTCCATTCGGGTTCACACCTGTCATTCAGAGGAAAAAAGAGCATCCAGCCTCAGTCCACCAGAAAAGTCCAGTAGCAACTAAACAATGTAAGTAGGCATAAATGCACAGGACAACAATGCATTAGTACCAAGAACATGCCACAGTGGATGTGTCATACAGTCGATCTGCCCATTCTTCGTTCTTACTCTCACTGGCGAGGAGTGCAGTTCCGTTAAGCTGGTGGAGAGTTTGTAAACCGACACTAAAATAATGGTTACGGATAATAGCATCATGTTTTCTTTTTTATGCAAAGTGCTTAATGGAAGGAAGAGAGCTGCATCAAATTTCCTTTTATTATTCGGTTAGGCGCGACCCACCCTTAAGTGAGGAAATTAACCTCTTGTGTGCAGTTTAGCAATAAAAAGACACTTTGGCCTAACAAAAGTACTTTTTGAGTTAATGGATGTAACAGCTCAGTTATTAGCACTATATGTGTGCACATATATATTTATATTTATTTACTTCCAAAACTCTCATCGTGGCAGCCTGGTATTAATTGTAGTTATCTTCCAATACCTAGTTTGGCTAACCAGTACTTCATTAAATTAAACCAGAAAGTGCATTAATATTTGTTTTCATGTATTTAAATGTAAAATGGTGTTTTTACATACAGAAACACTAACAGCAAGTTACATTTTTTAAAACAATTTTCATACATGGCTTAAGACTCTACTGCACAGTACTAAATGTATATATACAAATGCCTTAGGCACCTAATTACTTTATTTAAAGCCATTTATCTGGGCAGTAAAATTTTGCATAAAAAACACTACATAACATTGAAATAAACACAAAAACTTATGTACAGTGAAAGACAGAACTTATCACATATATCACATAACATAACAAGATATCTTGTTAGCTAATTAGAAGAACAAAGTCTGGTTTCAGATTTCTGCTTGATTGCCCCAACTATTACATGGATTTGTAAAATTCCATTACCAGCACCCATGATTTCATTTAACGAAGGACTAATTAATAATCAAACCAGGTATTGGAAGTACAATTAATACTGGCCTGCCAGGAGATGATGTCAGGAAATGGTTAAATAAACACATCAAAAATCACTACTAAGGATGCACTATCAGTATCGGCCAAGATCGGAATGAGCAGATTTTTGCTGAAAACACTGGCAATTGGGCCAATTTATTGCTTTTATTTTGGAAGATCTTTGTTTCAATGTTATGACATAAATAATGTAAGTAGGGAAATGCACTCAATTATGCATGTGCTAAATAGCCAGTTGCCTCTTACTTGAAAAGTAGCACTTTATCTTATATTTTTGTCTTCGTGATTTTGAAATAAGCAACTGATTTACGATTGAAATTTTTTAAATGCCTGTTTGGCCCATTAAAGAGCAAACAATGTTGTTTATATTGCAAGTTTGGTCAAGATAGACCAAAAGTACAAATGTGCTAGAGTGTTTCATGTGTTCATTCACCTTATACGGTGTGAGCTTCAGATTAAGAAAAAGGCTAATGTAAATAATCCAAAAAAAAGCGGCCATCGGCCAATTTGGCTGTAAAGAAATCGGAATCTGTATGAGCATACTTAGTATTTATACATTACAGCTTAACCCCTTTAGGAATATTCCACATTCTTCTGTTATTAATCCAAAGGCTTATTATTTAATAATATTCAAAAACCGTTGCAACTAATAAATCAGTAGTTACTATTAAACAAAAGTAAGTCATGTAGTCCCACTCACAGTCAGAGTATAACTGGGTTGACCAATGTAAGAATACTTGCAAAAACAAAAACCAAAAAATGTGTGGGAACAGATCCAGCCAGTGCTAATGGCTGTGCCAGAGGTCCCCAAGCCAGTCTCGGTCAACCACAGGTCATCATGTTTTCAGGGCCTTTGTGCAGGATTGTGTACACACTCCACTGTCACCACTCATACAACACGAGCGTTCAATCGTGGATGAAACAAAAGCACCCAATAACGACTTGGCTCAGGTGTGCTAGGAGCTTAAACAAAATAAAACGTTTACATCCTAAGACTGCGGGAAGACTGCATTAGGAATCTGATCCAGTGAAGTGTCTGAAAGGCGTTGTCTTAAAGAATCAATGCAGAGACAGATTCTGTAACAAACCCGAAGCTTCTAAATTCTCTATTCTAGAGTTTGCTCTAGTGACGGGCAATAAACCCTCAAATCTTGAATCCCTAAAATCCTAAAACCCTTGTTCTTGGTATTGAAGGCCTTTGACTAAACCCATTTAATTCTGATTGTTAGTGATGGCCCGTTTTTGTAGTATGTCCCTGGTGGGCCAACAATTGTAGAACACCAGCAAACGCACAACATTGTAAAAAAGCAGACAACGTTGCTACAGGATGGTAAAAAGGTGGTGCTGTTTACGTTGTGTGGGCAAGGTTGTCACAACGCTGTCACAACCTCAGTATTCAGTATCGTTGCCGTGCGGTGTTGTGGGTACCTGCTGGAAACTTAGCAAAATTCCATGGAGCTCCTTTCACAACAATGGAACTCGGAAGGATGCTAGTAGGTCGTGACAACGTTCCCACTACGTTGCCACAATGTTGTCAGATAATGTTGTCACAACTTTCTGAGAAATTACATGTCAACGTTGTGGGCACCGAAATAAACCATAGGTTGTCACAACGATGTTACAACGTAGCTGTGTTTGCTGGAGTACTGTACTGTACAGTAATAAAGAAGCGAAAGTACAGTAAAGGCTCCTGTTTACTGTTGAAATGACACTGTCAGTGTAAATGCAGACAAAATGCGCCAGTAAACACCGGATCTACTTTATGGTCAGTCTGTTTGTCGTCAGTTTATAATACAGTTGTCTGTAATGGATGAATCCACAGTGTCTGCTTTGAGAAAGACTGCTCCACACTAGTTAAATAATGTGGCCTGTGTTATCACAGCAATTAAGGCCGTGCTCACCGATGTTCTCCAAAGCCTCAGAACAATGTTCACCTCCACCAACAGACACAGAGCTCCAACTGAACCTGGTCAATGCATGCCAATTATATATTCAACGAAAGTAAACATCTAAACACGTTACGTAAAAATACCCACTACAGCAGTGCTAACGTTACTTCCTGATTTGCTAAAAGCTCTACTGAACAACAACTCCGCTCGTTTACGAAGTGGAAAATAATATATCAGAAGGTTTGACAGCTGGACTTACCATTCAGACGGTCGAGAAACAAAACCCAAAACGTCTTTTGACAATGTTTGGTTTTCTGGACTCTGGTGCAGTTCGCATCGCCTTCTTTCGCTCTCTTACATTCGCTACGTGCTGAGCTAGAGACGGGAGGATCCCCGCACAGCGCATGTCCTGATCTCTATGTCATTTACATACGGATTTTCCACGGAGCGAATGACTTGAAGATCGGTTATAGGACAGCAGGCCTATCTGCGCGTGTTCTGCGTTACTCCAACGCGCTCTAGTGTTTTGTACGGTTTGCGCAGTCTTCAAATTAAGAGCCTGAAATGCAGAAAACTTCATAATACATTTACTACTTCAAGGAGGTTTTCTTTTCCATTCCCGTTAGGACACACTGAAATGGACTAGTTTTGTTCACAGAGTTTTAACGCTTATACCGATTTGTTACGTTTAGCTGCGTTAGTTGATAGTTGAATGAAGCTTCATTTCTTCTCTGTTCTTTGATTTTGAATGACCTGCAACCCATGGCTTTCTTTAAATCTGGAGGCGCTGACTGTCATGTGGATCCACATGGCTGCCTGATCAGACAAATTCAAGACAAACAGTCATTACAGAAACTATATGAAAACAAGCTGCAGTGAAGGCACATAGCCAGTGGGCGGCGCTAAAAGCAAATACACTGCTTTGAAGGGGAATTCCACCAATTTTGAAACGTGAATAATTCAGTCTTTGAGTTTTATACAAAGCAACTAAAACTGTTTTGATGTGAAATGGCTCATTTGTAGAGAAACTTTCAGACTCTGATTCCTTTAATAGAGAGCAGGGATCCCAATGTCTTCAACACAAATATAGCCACTTTATTTACTGTACACATCCACCAGTGAAGATGAGTTTCTATATGTAATGGGGATGATGGTAAAATAATGAAAAATCTGAAAATAATATGTTTTCTTTAGGGACTATTTTGCTTTACATCACCGTGCATGTTCCCCTCCGCCATGAATAGATTAAAATGAATGGAATAAAACACATTTTAAGCCAAACTTTATGACAACACTATCATAAAACAATGTGTCAGACATCAGGCTGAGTATTCATAATCATTTAATGTAATAACGTCCTGTGAGGGAGCTTTCAGAGGTGCATGTCTTGTTCCTATCACCATCACCGTGAACAATTTTGACTCAGTAAGTTTCTCTAGAAAGAAGCATTTCACATCAGACCACTCTGAAAGACTTTGTTTACCTCTTAACCATTTAACTATGTAGACTTAAAAAAAACAGTTCCCCTTAAAGTGACTTTGTAAACATCTCCAAGAGATCTACATGTTTTTATATTGCAAAGAAGCCTGGAAGCGACTAAGTATGATTTCATGTAGGCCTAGAATATTTGTCCTGGTTGGAGTGTGTCAACAGAGTAATTTAAAACATCTTCATCAAAGTCTCTTATTGAACAATGAAGAAGTGTTTACACTTAACCAACACAGAATGCTATTCATTGGTTTTACTGCAGCTGAAATGTCAATTATTCATATTTGGGTTAATTTTAATTTTAATTCACAGAGATTTTGGACTAAATCGGCATCTGCTATTGGACATTTTGTGTAGGCCTTCTTACTATACTATAATCACTGTAGTAAAGAAGACTTCAGTACACGATATAACCCCCCCTCCCCCATTACTGCCCCTTTACTACCACATCTCACATCCTGAATGAAAGAAAGGTACCTGTGAACTGAAAGTTTCACAGTATGTAGAAGTAATTGATCTCTTAGAGTAAGACACACCGAACGTTCTTTTTCAGTTCCAGGTTCCCGTAAGGGATGCGTGTGATGTATATAATTAATATGCAAATCATTGTTTTTGATCCTCTTTTAAAATTAATGTGGTGAAGTACAAAAACACCAAACTATTGCTGCAACTTTCCAAGCTACAAACTTGAGAATTTTTTTCCCTGCTCAAACATAGGCTGCTTTGGATAAGCAATACATAAGCTTAAAGAGGAATTACACCTATCTAATCATCTGCATGATTCAATCACTGAGATGTAAACGAAGTCATTCATAGTGGTCTGATGTGAAATGGTTAATTGCAGAGAAACCTATTGACTCAGATTTCTTTACAGTGGTGATTGGAACCAGGAGTCACAATGTCTACAACTCAAATATAGCAATATTTTAAATTTACTATCCAAAACTGCCAGTGAACCTACATGCGTCTACAGAATTTTTACCTGTAATGTTGATAGGGCTAAAATAGTGATAAATCTGAACATATAAGTTTTCTTTTGGGACTATTTTGCCCTACAACAGCCCACATTTACCTCTTTGCCATGAAAGGGTTCAAAAATGATAAAAATAATACATTATAGTCAGGACTATCTTGAACTTCCTTATCTTAAAACTATTGTAAAGGAGTGTCTCAGGCATGCAAAGTATCCATAGCAATGTCATTTAGATGTCTTTTAGAGACATTAAATTTCTTTGGATGTTTGGTTCCTATCACCACCACTGTGAACATTTCTGAGTTGGTATGTTCTACAGCGAAGCATTTCACATCACAACAGGCCTACATGACATGTTCATTCTGAAACATACGCTCATACTGAAACATAAGCCCATTCTGGAATGTTTTTTTTTAAATGTTCCAAAAAAGTTAGATGGGGCAATTTAAGACTAGGAACATTGTGAAGTGTTCAAAAACATCTCAATGGTGATGCATCCATGGTGATGCATTCATCCTTGGATATAAAAGGATCCTCCAGGGAAGCACTAGTCCTTTATGATCAAGGATGAGTTGAGGCTCACCAAAAATGCATCAGCTTCATTGCAAGCAATAGCAAAGATTTTAGGTATTTCACCCTCTATGGTGCATGATAACATCAACAGATTCAGGGAATCCGGAGAAATCTCTGTATAAAGGATAAGACCGAAAATCACAAGTGAATGCCCCTGTCCTTCGATCCTTCAGACAGCACTGCATTAGAATGTCTCTGTAATCAGTCAACATATGTGCTTGGGAACACTTTGATTAACCATTGTCAATAAACACAGTCTGGCCCTGCATCCACAAACTCAAGTTAAGGCTGCACTACGCATTGCAGAAGCCATTTATCAACAATATCCAGAAACACTGCCAACTTCCCTGCGCTTGAGCTCATCTGAATGGACTGATGCACAGTGGAAATATGTTTTGTTGTCTGACAAGTCAAGCTTTCAGATTGTTATGGAAATAATGGAGGTCATATCCTCGGAATCAAAGATGAAGAGGACCGTCCAGATTGTTACCAGCAAAGCCAAGAGGACTGTCATGGTCTGGAGAGTTGCACTTCTGTGAAGGCACCATTAGTGCTGAAAACATTAGACACTGTCTTTTTCAGGGATGTCCATTCTTATTTTAACATGACAACACCAAACCACATTCTGCAAGTGCTTTCAAAACAGAACCAGTTCATATCTTCAGCCCCCAAACAATTAATAAATGTTGTTAGAAGTGAAGGTGATGGAGCACAGTGGTAAATGTGCTCCTGCCCCAACTTTTTTGGAATGGGCATCAAATTTGGGATAAGCATATATTTACAAGTATATAAGGGAAAACATAAAATATTGTTTTTTTGGACCATTTTCAATTTAACCCCTTAAAATCTTAGGCTTATTACATACTAAGGCTTTTCATTCAGTAACTGCAGGGCAACCACAGGGCTTCAGTGTAAACCGGTTGAGCTATTCTTAGCTTACAGAAGTGTCTAATAAAACTTTGGGCCCGGTGGTGGGCACTGGCCATTTAAGGGGTCAGTACAAGTCAAACAGAATTTACTAATCACTGCTTTCGGTTTTCATTAGTATTTCACATACTGTTCCAACTTTTTGGAGTTTATACAATGTTAAAGACAGAAGAAGTTAAGTAAAGGTGAATTGGCTCTTGCTATCGTCCTTATTTGACTACTCCCCCTTTCAGTGTTATCATGGCTAACCATTAAATGAAGTCAGTAAGGACCATGTTTTTGATTTGCCTAAGAGCGATGGGTGTGTTTTACTTTTCAGTAATTATTAGCCATGTTAAGTTTAAACTAGCCTCATTTTAAACATGGTGTGACTTTTTCTTCAGACACACATTTGAAAGTGAGTTCCTCCACAATCAACCAAAAACAAGAACCGAAAAATGTGTTCACTCAGTACAGCTCTATTTAAGGGACAATGACCACTTTATGCTATCATAAGCAATTGAATTCTCAATTTTCCATACACACAGTAGAAAACCTAAAACAAACCTAAAAATAATTTAAAAGAACAAATGCTACATTTCATACTTCATACTTCATTAATGTTTCATTAAAGACCAAACACAACACAATATGTACACTTAAGCATGTTGATGAGACTTTTTTTTATATATGTTATAATATTACTTTGATGCATGTGCTCAGTTAATTTCAACATATCTTTAAAAAATGTTAAACACAGACACATAGCCAGAAAACAGACGTCAACTAACACAGACATCATATACATTGTTAAAAGTACTCATGTTCACAACAGTTAGAAAGGAAATTGTTTTACATGTAACAATTACGCAGAGGTGTGGGAAGTACCGCTGTCATCTTAGTGTGGCCATCCCACCTGAAAAACCAAAGTGTCATTGGACAAACGCTTAGAGCAGTAGTTATTCTTGATTTGTAGGGTAATTCCTGTATCAACATCAAGGAGATCCATACCATCTGTCCATTCCATTTTAATGTATGAAATTAAACACCTGCAAAAAGAAAAAAAGCGTGATTAATTGCTATCATATCCATTTTGTTAAAAAAAGTCTATAAGGAAAATTATATTGTTTTGAAGTGGATCAGACAAACAGTATATTAAATGATCAGTTAATTTACATATATTAACATTAATAATACGAGAACAGTGCAAAACCAGAGCATTGCATTAATGTTATTCCTGAATATCTGATTACATTCTGCTGTATTCCAGTTCCACAAGCCAGATAATGAAGGGCTGTAGAAATCTAAGTACTTTAAGATGTAGAAACTGTTATGGAGCAAGAATAGTCTCTGCTTTGGAATAAGTTTACAAGAAATTTGTTTTTGCAGTAGTTCACATTGAGAAAAGTAACTAAATATATTATAAAAAAAAAGAAAAATATGTATAAAATAAAGTAATAATTAATATGCATAATAGAAAAAGAATATTCAGTGGCAATTGAGTGACATAAGGTTAAATATGTCCAGCAGTGTATCAATCTCACCTTTGGATTTGGGTTTGACCATGAACTTCTTGCTTGATTTACCCAGCATGTTGGAGGCAGTACAGGTGTACGTGCCTGAAGAGGGAGCTCTGAGGAGTGGCTGATTTTCATCATTGTCCTGCACATTTGGGGAGCTCCAGCTGTATGAAGGTGGTGGATTTCCTCCTGATGAACAATTGAGCAAAATGTCCTCTCCGTCAACGAACTCCACCAACTCCCTCTCTGGGTTGAACGGGTCAGGTGGGTCTGAAAGGTAAAAACAAGGGTCATATCAAACTTGACTCGAACCACATCAGACTGGTAAGTAAAGTAAACTTCTCTGGCACTGTATGCTATACTTGTAGTTATATGACATTAACTAAATGTACAGGCAAAATGCAGGCTTCAAGATGAGTGTTACTGGTCTGTTTTGTCGTGTGGCATATTTTTGTCCTTGTTTATGGATAACAGTATGTCATAAAGAGTCAGAAACTACAGCAAGTCTAATGAGATTACCTAAAAACTCAAGACAGTTTCAGACAAGTTTGTGATGATTTATGCATGCCATTTAATGACATTATTGTACTAATCTGGTTGAACGCAAGCCCATTCAGTCAGAAATTAGAGCAACTTATATATAACAATGATTTGGGTGGAGTGACACAGCAGAGGATGTCAAAATACAGTGGTCTGATGGTATTTTTGATCCTATTGTGGTTAAAAAACGCACATAGCCTACATAAACACGTTCTATTTCTCATACACTGAAAAAAATGAACTTGGCCCTTAGTAAATTTTACACAATAAAATTGTGCATGTTTTTCTCAATTTAAATGTGTTTTTGCTTCAACTAAATAATAATAAGCAATGTTGAAAACCAGTAAACTAAGCATATGAAACACGCTTAAAGTGAACTAGAAATAATTTTGTGTCAAGGGGTAGAAACTGCGCATGCGCAAGCACAGCTTTTCCCCGAGCTGACGGCAGCCATTTTCTACACCCTGTCTCTGGGAAGATTTGGATTACCTGAGAAAATTCTGTCATCTTACATTTACATGGTAGGAGATTGTATATTGTCTATTGTTTGTCAATATGGACATATAACATGTTCAAGACATTTACGCAGAAAAATATTGGCAAAAACGTGAGGTTAAGGGAGGACTTAGCATGGCTTAAAATTCGCTAGCTTAGCCAACTTAGCTAGGTTAGCTAGACAGGTTAGTTTAAACCGACGCAGATTCAGAGGACACATAACGACACTCGGTCAAATAATCCCTAAACTTACTAAAGATCGCAGTGTTTTAACTGTAAAGGTCAGTGTTTTAATATGGTGTGTCCTTCTTAAGTATCTGTCATGTTGAGGTAGTCACTAAGTTTGCTCATCAACACAACCGTTAGCTAACGTTACTGTGGACCTAGCCTAGCTAGCTAGCTAAGTAACGGCGCCATTTTCTGAAGTTCACTGCAGACGAGTGCGTTTAGCTGCTGTGTCACCGCACAAGTACACGGTAATGTATTGTTTAGATGGTTGTAGATGCACACAACGCAGCGTTGGACATAACGTTGATGAAAACGTACAGTTAAGGGACGACTAGGGCGTGGTGTGTTAGTATGTTAGCGCCAACCATAGATTGTAGGTGCCAGTGTGAGAAGGGTGAAATAGAATTGTCCATTTTGTAATGTGTATTTTACCATTGAATGGAGTTTTGTGGAGATGGGGGCTGATTTTATTTAGATTCATTATAAAATAAGTATTTGATATTAAAAAAAACTGTCGGGGGGTGCCTGGAAGTATTTAGAAGAGCTCAAATGAAAAATAAACTGAACGTACTCTTTATGCAGCAAGAGAACAATGAAGTTTTGTATTAATAACAAGATTTAATTTGTAGGACATTCATAGTGAAGACATATTGAGAGACCAGCACAACACTGAAATGGACATTTATGTCATCAGAAGAGGGTGGAGAATATGAAGAGGGTGACGCTGATGGAAACATTATTGTAGGAAACATCAAATCAGTTGCACCAGACTGCAGTAATGCTTGGAGTAATCTATGCACTGAATATGGCTCACCACAATGGGTGGAAATGCTGCTTTTTGAATTTGTACATTCCTCATGCCAAAGGATGGTGCAAAGTTCTCCCCTAATATTCTTGGTTTGGAGAACAAAATCTTTGGATAGTCAAAGTAGGCTGTCCTTTCTGGAAATATATGGAACTTTTCACACTAGCTTCTACTTTGATTGAAAAGCAATGGGCTTTTGAACAACGCTTAAGTCACATGAAACAAGAATGGCTGTATTTGTCAACATCACTTTTAAAATTCAGTGACATTTCAGTGATTTTCTATACAACATGTCAAGATCCTGGTCATGTTTAAGAACAATTTGTCTTAACATGCAGTTAGATTTTAGAGTCTTTTTTGCTAAAGCTGTACAAAATAGCCTTTTGAATAATTTGAGCTCTATAAATTTTCACCCTAAATTTGCGAAGTCTAACAAACAAAATAAGGTTGTGTTAACTAGAGGCAGTGCTTTGACAAGAAGGTTGTACTCTGTAGGTGCTATTTCTGGGGCATTATTTTGATCATTGATGATAATTGGATATTGTATAAAGTCGCATAACATTAATACTGTTATTGTGCTGTTCTGTTTTAAATATCTGCTGTTGTAAAGTTGCAATTATCATTACAGAATTGTTTCACAATTTCTGGGCCATTTCTAAAGACTTAATTAATTGTGATTAAAGGCACACACATTTAGGTGAATGTGTTTATAATTGCAGTGTTCTGTTTGAAGCTTATTGTTGTATGTAAAGTTGCATTTTAGCTTGTGTTGCCTGCAAGACAAGCAATAATGTATTGATAGCTGTGCACTTTTAGAGAAGTATTTAGTCTATTTTTTTACTCCTCTGCTTTATTTTGTCTACAGTCTTGTTTTATTACTTAATATTCAGTGTTTTTCTATAGTGGTAAAGCAAATGTGTATTTTAGTTGATCCTAATATGCAAATGCATTTGATGTACCTTAATAAAGTCAATGTAATTTTTTTTTATTGTGATGATAGTCATTGTCTTGACCAGGTGTTTAAATAGATGGAACATTAATAAGTGTAGCTGAAGTTTAATTTGTGAAAATTAACATTAAAAATTGCACATTAAGAAATGCTCTGTGATATAATTAAGCTGTTGTACATAATAAACAATGAGTAACTATTTGGAAATACATCAAAATTTTGTAGTTTTACTAAAAGGTTATTTAACAATCTACATAATTTAATGAAATAGCATGAACATGATTAAATTTAGTTAAAATTACACCAAGGAAATTTTACAAAATATAATTAAGCGGACAAAACTTACAAGCATCAGAAAGGCATCAAATTTGAGTTGTTTTAACTAAAAAATGTTATCTACAATGTACATAATTTGCTTAAGTAGAAAGAACATGATTCATTTTAGTTAAAGTTACTTAAGGTATTGAAGTAAATCCTGCAAAATATAGTTAAGTTGACATTGCTTATAGGTAATGAGTAAATGTTACTCAAATTATATATCTGAATGTAGATAATTTAATTTCGAGCAACAGGTTGATGAAAAAAAATTAAGTCAATTCAAAGAGTCATTTTTTTGAGTGTAGAGCAATGTTGTGGAGGATCAAATATCACCCAACTTAAATAGGAATAGATAACTTCTCTTAGTTACTAATACAACTGACTTTGCAACTTTTCCATATCAAATAAGGAAAAACAAGCTGATGCTACAAAATGGGATTCAAACTTGGCCCCTCATTACGCATGGAACATTAAACAATTAATAAACCTTACATTTCCAAGTGAGCTACGACCACAAAAATTGAGCCCTATTACTTTAGAGAACTGATTTGAGGATTCTTAAAATTTTAAAACAGAGACTATATTGTCTGAATGGTCTTACAGTGAACAGCAATGCTGAGGGGCTCTGACTTCACTCTGGGCGGAGGTTGAGGTCCTTCTGGACCAAGTTCCAGTGCAGCTTCACACCTGTACGGAGCTCCATCCTCTACCCTGCCTGGGTTGATCAGCAGGGTGGAGGACACCTGGACTGGAGTAGCCGGAGAGAGCTCAGAAAATGTGTGGTTGTAAACTTCCGTCTGCCCTCGGTACCACCGCAGTGTGAGATACTGCACAGGTGCAATGTTCTGCACCTCACACAGTAGCTGGTATTCTTTGCCTTCCACCATCGGTCCTGTGTGGTTTACCATGCTAATGGAGATGCTGTCTGGAGTCTCTGCAGAAAAACAGGAAACACCTATTATACCCTTGATCTGTTTTGGAATACAATGGAGTAACAGACGAAAATGGAATATCTAAGGCCAGATTGCACTAACACAACAAACATCAACATTGTAATGTTTGCAGTTATCGTTAGGATGTTCTCGAGGAAATGACAAGCCAAATAAAGCAGTAGAGCACTTTGGAACAGTGCAGATGGGAAGAACATTCTAAAACAGTGTGAATGGGGGAGACATTCCAGAGAAATGTGAACAGGGGTAAACATTCTGAACAGAGGAGTACATTCTGGAAGAGTGTGAAGGTGAAAGAACATTTTAGAACAGTGTGAATGGGGAGAACATTCTAGCCCAATGAGAATGAGTCTCTCAACAATAAAACAAACATAGTTTCTCAACAATAACACAAAGGTATTGCCACCAGCCAAATGTTTGGGTTTGTTGGAACTCAATTTACACAATTTTCTACTTATCCTGATCAGCCAAGACAAGTTTGATCCCCAAATTTTGTTTCTTTAGTTAAGTGCTGGAGCCAGAAGGCTAACAATGCTAACCAACACTAGAAGTCAACAGACAAACCAAATCATTTCTTTAAATATATCATCAAAACCTCAATCTGCTCAAACCATATCCAGGCCTTCATTAAGGTCACACAGCACCTGTTGTCTAAAATAGTAGCCCCCAGCATTCAGCTACACAAAGTTTTCATTTTCATTTTTATAGTTCAAACTGTGCCCTAAATCACACCAACAAGTCTGCACAAACATAATGAGGACTTGGATGCAGTTTGACTGACTTGAAAGAAGTTTTACAGATGTTTTTACAGAAAAGATTTGGGTGACTATTGACTCTAGCATTGGTTAACAACATCAAAGCAAAACAGCCGATCAGCCAAGACACCAAACATGCCTTTGTTGACCAATTATGTCTCAGAGAAGCAAAAATTGGGTTTTTGCAAAAAAACATTTCCTTAAATGACACTGCATGAATAGTTACTGTGCAAAATATTGCACATACTGTACAGAACAAGGTTGAGCTTCTCTTCACACTGTCTGGGTGCAGTGAAGAAAACACCGTAGCAGATTGGTTCTTCGATCCAGTCAATCAAGCTGTCCACTGACCACTGGACAGCAAGGTCACGCTGGGTGTGTGACGCACCGATGGCAGATTCCCATCCCAGCACGCGCACTGGCCGAGAGGCCACACAGCTGACTGTCACCGGCTGTCCAAACGCAACAACCACTCTCGAGGGCGATATCTCAAGAGAGCAGCTGTCACCTGAGGCTGAGGAGAGTCGGAGACAGTTATATACATCTACTGTTCATAATATTATCACTTACTGATTTTACACAGATATCACAGATTTTAATTTACTTACATACTACAAATAGTCATTACATACTCGAATTATATACAATAACAGTACAATATGACCATACATGCACTATTAGACAGGATGAGAACACCTTAGGCTACTTTACAACTAACATATTTGTGATTAAAGATGATGGTAGATGATTAAAATAGCTTTGTTATACCATCTATCCAGTGGCACATTCAGTGTAGAGACAGGGAATGGTTGTGCCAGACCATTAATGATAGTCGTTTCAGTATAATGAAGCAGTACAATATTATTTACAAATCAAAGCACATAAGGCTTATATATAGGCTAAGACAAACAACTTTGGTAATCCAAGAAAGTCCAAAGGGATACAGGGTGTCCATTCCATCCCACCATTTAAAAAATTCTGTCTGAAATTGTAATTTTTCTTTAAACAAAAGGTAACTTTAAAACTATAAAATACTGCATATCACATCTACCTCAGGGTGCTGACACCTGTGCTGACTTACCTGTTTGGAGAACGAAAAGAGCAAAGAAACATTTCAGTGTGTTTTTCATCATCTCTGAGATTTTGTTGAAATCTGCCATAGTCCGGGTACAGAGACGAAAGGGATTCTGACTTGGTCCTGCTTGGCAACCCAAAAACTGAGCTGTGGCTGCTAACAAAAGCCCTGCTTTGCATCGCCACTCTTGTCCATGCCATAGTTCGACTGAATGGCCTTGAAGGGGGACCAGAAAGGACTGGGGGCCCCCAGGAAAGCAAACTCTCTCTAGCCTGAAAACAATCACTGCAAGTCTCTCCTCATGCCTGTGTAACCATTACCTCTAGTGACGTTACACCAGTTTTAGGGTGAAACTTGCAAGCCTTGAATTCAAATCAGGGCTGGATTTCCCAAAAGCAACTAAGCACAAAGATCATAGTTAAATTGTAGAGCAAGCATTACATTAAACACTCTCTCTACCAGTCAAGATGATGTTTATTACTACAAAGCCTTAAGGAAACACCCCAGATCAGTAATGTAACGTTCTAGGTAATTGACTGAAAACACGTAATGCTCCTGAGCAGTTTTCAAGACTAGTATATTAATTCCACATGTAACAAAGTTGTGTTAGTCATGTGATTTCTTCCCTGGCTAGAGGCACATTGCATGTCACTCAAATTACAACGCCCAACTCACCATAGCAACCCGCCTACATGTGGATATATAGATGACTTCAACAGCAGGGGTTGTAGGGGTCCTTGAATTTGTATCAGATTTAATGCACAACAGCTGCTGAAAGTCATGTATGCGCAGAGCAGAGAAGGGCTACATTCTTTTGAGTTTGAAAAAGCACATAGTAACGAATTTTGGTGCAGTGGTTTTTAGACACTGTTATAGAGCTTCCTGTCAGGCTTTCTTTTTGTGTTGATGTCTCCTTTATTAACTGAGGATAATGTGACTTGGCAGGCCGCTTAAAAGTCCCCAGAGCAGTCAGCGTTGCTATGCCAACACGCTCACTGCTAAAACACAACAAGCTTTTTGGCAGGGTCACTTCCAGTCTCCAGGTTTCTTGTTTAAGGTTAACAAATGAAAGACGCACAACACAAGACACCATTTTAGAAGCACTGAACACTCGCTTTTTTCATTATTACGAACGGATGCCACTTCATAAAGATGAGCTTTTTATGGTGTGGGAGAACATATTATCACCAGGCTGAGCATAACGAAACATGTCTGTGAGTAATCCCAACTGTTTGTCCTTCATATTTAAGGACAAAGTGCTGAAGCAAGTCCAGACAGAGGCAAGTACTGGATACACTGATGTTTAGAAGTTCCTTTATTGTAGAACACATCTCCATGACTACAGAAAATACAAGAGAACTGTGGATTACAAACTGGAAAGCAGCCAGAAAGACTCACTACCATGAACGTTTCCTTTCAAACAGTTGCACATTAGGAGAGACCATTGGACATCAAAATAACATCTGAAGTCCTTAAAATGGGTTTCTCACTGGACAAAAAAAATGGCATAATAAAACATGAAACTGGGAGAGAAAGGTAAGGCACAAAATAGCTTTTCATACACAACTGGGTAAAAGTCAAAGAACCCTTTTTTGTTTATTTAGTTTCCAGTCAAAAAAGACCAATAAGTTCAAGTTATTGATTTTGCAGGGTGAGGAAAAAAGCAAACATAAATTACATGCATTATTACAAAATGACACGAAAGCCTCCAACACAATGTATACTATCTCAAATCTATCAGTGTTTCATTTGTCTACTCTTTTGTGCACGCTATTGCCACTTTAACTCTTCTGTCCTTACAATCTTAAAACCAACCAGGACCGCTGCGTCCTCCCAACTAAAGCTGTTCCCAAAACAGTCACTGACATTATGTTCCCCTTGAAGAGACACTAACATTTACACAAGCAGCTACCCAAACACACCTCAGCTGCCTTGCTAATTTCTTCCTCATGTACATCTAAAATGGTTAAAGGAGATATTTTTTAAGAGATTAGACAAAATATACATTATATACAGTTTGCATAAGTAAGGGGAAAGTCAAAGGAAAATAAGTCAAAAAGCAGGAGTTTCCAAACTGGAATTCAGAAAATTGTTAAAAGATGGGAAAATGGGACCCCTAACAACCATGCAAGACCTGGTAGACCACCAACACTGTCACCATCAGATAAACAGTACTTAAAGCTTTCATCTTTGAGAGAGAGGAGAAAAATCAAGCTCCACTCTTGCTTTATATATTGAAAACCTACAAGTGTTAAAAATACTGAAACATTTGAGACTTGTGTATGATTTTCTTACTCTTTTCCTATGCCAAAAGATAGCGGCCGACTGGAAATTACCTGGAAATTACCAGAGTGAAAGGTTGTTCTCTGACAGTTGCACAGTCCTGTATATACACTAATCTTAGTCTTGAGTTGTCACAACATGATTCTACAGGTATTACAGATACAGACCACACAGAAGCCCCAGTGATACATACAGTGCGTGTATGAATCAAGTACACATTCTAATTCTAGGACAGAAAAGCAACAACCAAAAAAAAAGTTATTTTTTATATTGAAGTTTGTTTCTCATGACTTTGGTTCTCATAGTGGAGTTTCAGCAAATCTTGTTTTTTAACTGTAGAAAATGCGATCTCCCTGAGTGGGTAGATTGGCTACATGATTACTGTAGCATGATTAGCTTAGTAAACTATGTATGTATATGCATCAGTCATTTAAATGCATACTTCAATTAAGCATTTGGTTTAGATTTTACTACATGGCTGTTTGATTTCTTCCAATTGTCTTTTTATTTCATGAATACAACAACAACAAAACAACAATAACAGCAAAAAAAGATATCAATTGGCATTGACTTAAAGCTTTACAATGAAAATGTCATGATTCCTCCTTATAAACATTACTGTAACCACGCACACACATAAATAATATTAAAGGCTGTGCAACAACTTTTTTCAGCAATGCTGCCATATGAGTGCATGAGGCAATAACCATTCAGTTGTAGCAGTGGAAAGTAACATCAAGTAACAGAGAATATTTAGGAGCACAATTTGGATTAATTCAAGTCTGAGCATGATTTTGACTCCACAGTTTGTGTGGAGCTGGGGGAAAAAAGTGGATATCACAATGGAAAGGGATGTAGGACTGTAGACAGAACGCAAGCAAGAGTGAACCCCAATCACAAATTAGTGGTGCTCTACTCAAAACAGTTTGGCCAAAATTCACCAAAATTTCAGGCTAGGCTTAAAGGAATGGTTGGGCAAAAAATCAAACTTACACAATTTTCTACTTACTTTAGATGTTGTTGATCAACCAAGACAATATTTGGAGTCCAAATTTTACTTCTTTAGTTTACAACTGGAGCTTTGAGGCTAACATTGCTAGAAAACACTTGAAGGCAATAGTCACCCAAATAGCCCAAACAGTTTTTGTAAAAGTGCCACAACATCTCTCAACTTACTTAAACAGCATCCAGTTCTTCATTAAGGTCATGCAGACTTGCAGAAAGACTGATCAGGATTGATCTTGGATAAGATTTCTTTATTTATTTATAACGGTCATTGTCACAAATACTGATTCTAGATCAGCACTTCTATTCCTGAGGTACTTTATGAATACACACTCTGTTATCTAAAGTGGCTGCCTGCAGTTTTGTTTTCACTCTTATAGCTCACTTGTCACAGTGTCCTAAACCACTTTGACAAGGCTTAAAGCAGACCTGGATATGGTCTGAGCTGCTTGAAAGACATTTTTTTATTTTTACAGAAACAATTTGAGCCATTTGGGTGACTACTGGGTTCTAGTGGCTCTTATCAACATTTGCCTCAAAGCTCTAGTTCAAAACTAAAGAAGCAAAATTTGGACATTTCTGGGCCAATCGACTACATCTGGGCTAAAGGGGAAACTGGTATAAATTTGATTACTCACCCAACCATTCTTTCAATATTTGTCATGCCAACTCACTATGAATGGCTTACTATTGGTTACAACAAAGAAGAGAATACCTAATGAAAGCTAACTTATAAGCATTCGTTACTAATAGTTCATAGATAGTCAGTGCATAGGTGTCATGCAATTTCATACCTGCTGAAAAAAAAGCATAGACCACCAGCTGGTTTATGCTGGTCTGGTTGATGGTTTAGCTGGTCACCCAGCATGGACATGCTGGTTGAACTGAATATCAGCATCCAAAACACAACATATCGCTGCTGTCAGAACAAAACCTCATATTTCCATTTTTATCATTTTTTTGTTTTTCACATAATTTGAAAGTGCCTGTTGCTCTTTACATTGTAAATTTCATGATGAACGGACCAAATTAAATGGACCAAAATTACTTGGAAAAAATTCTGGTTCCATTGGCTTACATTGAAAGTAAATGATGTTTTCTCCTTCTCCTGTAAAGTCACCTTTTAGGAGATATGAGGTTTTGTTCTGACAGCAGCGAAATGCTGGTTGTGCTGATGATCAGCATATCAGCTTCCATTGCTGCTGACCAGCATACCAGCATCCAAAATACAGCTTATGCTGGTCTTGCTGGTGACCAGGTATGCTGGTCTATGCTGATTTTTCTAGCAAGTATTAAAGACAAAAATTACAAAAACAAAAAAAAAAAAACACCACAACCACAACCGATCAAGTCAGAGACTATAACTGAGTGAAAATCACACAAAACCTCCCCAACACACTCCTTTTCACTTCATTCTCTTACACACATTTCATGACAGAAAAATATGGAGACTTTGCATACATTTTAGATCAGTTCAGCCATGGTCCATTTTCCAAAACCTTAAAAAAATCATCAGTGATCAAATAATGGTTACTGACTCAAACTTGCAAGAACCAAATTTCAGCCTGATCAGCTAAACCTGCAGAAGTTCAGTTCAACACTGATGAAGTGCTTGTTATTATAGTCCTGAAGGTGTGTCCTGCTTTGGGTGAGAAACCTTCAGACGACAGAGTTCGAGCTGACACTCCTCTTTATCACGTAACCTACAATCAGCACAAAAACCAAGGCCAACCCCGATCCGAGAAAAGCCCAGAAAATAGTGCGGTCACGACCTGTAAAGGAAGAGTGGTATTACAATCGAAAGTTATATACATCAGTGTACACAAGTAATTTATGAGAAGATATTACTATTAAACAGAGAAAGAGAACAGGTTTCCATACAGCAGTCTGTGTGGCATCAACACATAGCTAAAATACAGTGTCCCCAAAAAATATTTGGACAACTTAACAAACTTAATTTAAGCTGTGATAACCTTTTGTGACGTTCTTTAGGTAACTTCATAAAATGTTCAACAAAATTATATTATTCATTTCAGGCAAAAACACTTTCACAACATCAAAGACTGGAGGAGAATCCCAACCAGACGGGTTCTGTTAAGCCCGTGGGAACGTCAAAGCCTAGGGCTGTTTTTCCTACAATGCACACTTAAAAAAGATGGCTCTTCAAGGGTTCTTTAGTAAAGGCAGTGGTCCTATTTAGAACCCTGAGTTCTCTACATAGAACAATTTTATGCTTAAATTGTTCTTTGCATGACACAATTGTTCTTCAGATTGATGGCGAATGTGTTTCATTAGGTTCTATATAGGACCTTTTTGAAAACAATTCTATACAGCACGAAAAAGCGATCTGTTATTGTTACAATAACCATTTAAAAAGGTTAGAAATAGAAAAAAATGGTTCCAAATAGAGTTATTGTCTAAAGTAGTAAAAACCCTTAAATAACCATCTTTTTTAAGTGTGTGGTGTGGGTGAGCTTTTTTTCATTAATGGGATCATAAATTTAGAAGTCATTTTGCATGCAAACCTGTAAAACTCTGTAAAGAAACTGCTTAAATGATAATAATCTGAAGCACATCAGCTGCCTTTTGAAAGAATACTTTGCCAAAAGTTTTGGATAGGTCTGTTTAGAATAAATAGATGCTATCAAATGGCAAACACTTGTTTTGACACATTGTTTACTTAAGCAATTAAGTGAATACATTTTCAAGCAGGGATGCACAATTAGAATTAGCCAAGATCAGAATCAGCATATTTTCGCTCCTAACGTGCAACTTGGCCAATTCATTGCTGTTATTTTGGCAGATCTGTGTTTCAATTTTATGACATAAATAATGTGAAGCAGGTAAGAGCACTCTTTTGGGGGCCACTGTATATATAACAGACTGAACAGAGAAACAGAACAGTAGCAATATCCACTACTCACTTTTTGGATTGATGATGAACTGTTTTACTGACGAGCCATACTCATTTGTGGCAGTGCAATTAAAGCTGCCAGATGTCAAAGCAGGTACTGACAAAACTGCTTTATTGAACTCATGCTGAATAGGTGTTTTCCAGGTGTATTTTGGATGGGGATTTGCTTCCACAGTGCAGTCTAAGGTGATCTCTTTATTTGTTTGGTTAAAGATCTCCACAGATCTGGAGAACTTTGGGCTGTCTGAGGAAAAACAAAGATACACATCACAAATCAGACACAAAAAAGGCTTAAGCCCTGGCTAACACTGACTCAAGGCATGTTTGACTTATTTACAAACATAAAAAATGGGGCTTATTCATCAAAGTTATATACAGACAAAACTGTTTGCAAAATGAGTGCATGCAAATTTCACCAACAATATTATTATTCACCAGTTTTATCTCTGATGTATCTGTATAATCAAACTCACACCTGGTTTGAGTGAGTAAATCTGAGTGTAACTGTTTAACAACCTGAAAAACGTCTTAATCTATATCATATGTAATACCAATAATGAAGAATAATAAAAAAAAAAGTAACACTAATAATTTCTTCACAAAAAAAGTGGATGTACTTACTTTGCATGAACATTGGTATGAACAAATGCTACCATGCCTCCTTGATCCATTTAAAGACATATTACACTGTGCTTTTGTTTTATACTACTGACATCAGCCCAAAAATAAAAATCTCATACAGCTCAATTATACAGTACTTAATAAAAGTTATTTTAGAAAAAGAATTATACTACACAAATTACGATGTTTTGTTTATTATACATTTGATTCTTTCAGTCATCAAAATTTTAACACTACAAAATCTTCCAAATCTGCACTTTTTTTTACGAAACTTTGATGAATAAGGGCCAATCATCTAGCAGGACAGATGTAAAAGCTCACATTTGTACTGTTAATACTTTCACAGCAGGTGTTCCATTCTCTGTTTTAACTGTAACCAGTTACACAGCACCAGCAGACCAGACTAACTCATGTGTCACCCACAGTCCAGTTTAAGTCATTTGAACATGCTGAACAGCATCACTCTATTCACTTCACTAATTGCCTCCTTGGCTAAAAGCAATGTACTCAAACTGTCTACCACTCTCCTGGCACTAGCTATTATGTTTATTTCAAATGCAAATTACATTCATGCAGATCTACAAGAGGTCCATGCAAATAGAGTGCCACTTTCATCACGTTGGTCAATATTAAATGGCCAAACAAGTCTTGTTTAAAAACTTACAATGTACATTAATACTGAGAGGTTCCGATTTCTTTGCGGGAGGAGGTTGAGGTCCACCTGCTCCCAGTTCCAGCTGAGCTTCACACCTGTACTGAGCTCCATTGTCACTTCTGTTTAGGTTTATGGGGAGGCGTCCCAACTTACTTTTTGGAGTGGTGTCAGTTTCAGAATATCGGCTAATACGAATTACATTTTGGCCTTTATACCACCTTACAACAAGGTTCTTAAGCGGAGCAATGTTCTTGATGTCACACAGGAGCTCATACGTTTTCCCCTCAGTCACTCGTTCAGTGTCATTCAAACTGATGGATACATTATCTGGAATCTCTGTTGAGTGAAAAGAATTGTTAACATTATCAAACAAAACAAGCAAACAATGCCAGCAGCTACCATCTATTCTGCAACAGCTACTGTTTTATTGATCTGTTCTTTGATTTATTGAAAAGGCCAGAGCATAACCGACCCAACAAATTCAGAAAAGCCAAATGTTTAGTTTGGAGTGTCATCACGTATTAAATAAAAATCAGTAAAGAGGTCTTCTTAATGACTTTCTAGTTTTTCCTAGACAACGAGATCAGACAAAGACAAAGATAAAGGAGACGTCTGCTTAAGTCTCCTGCTACTCAGACATTCTATTGAGCAAAAGAGCCCAATAATCTCATGTGTCTCCTTGTGTTTTAGTAGCAATCTCAAGAAAGTCACACTTTGTGTTCAGATTTCAGAACATGGTAACACTAATGACAGGAACTCAACCATATTTAGGTGGCATGAATTTGTTGGGGGAAGCCTGAGAGCTTTACACAATATCTAGTGTTTCACAGATATAGCCTGTTTCACATAAGCAAAGGTTATGGTAACTATTTTACTTAATATACTTAAGGTTACGTGCATACGGTATGGGTAGACAGGTAGATATTGCAGAGCATGATTTTTCAAAGGCGAAGTGACATAAGAAAGAACAACGTACTGTAAACAATAACTTCCAGAAACTTTGTTTTCTGGGACAATTCATTCACGTTGACAAAGCAAAATGGTTTTATATTCCACTCTGTAAGACTGTCCACTTTCCAGGTGATTTGATTGACCTCATCCGTCATGTCCACTGGTCCCAAGGGGGCCTCCCAGCCCATCCCAAGATGGGTGAGGTGTGTTGAACAGTTCGCAGAGACTGGAGCTCCATATGCAACCACCACTCTGGGAGGAGTGAGCACGACGGGATCACTAGCAGCTAGGACAAAATTTAAAAAGAACATCATATTAGCCTGGAGATTGTGTAGTATTTTTAAAGGAACATGCCATCATTGTTCAGCTTAATCACTCTCTGCTGCACTTGTAGCATACGGTCAATACCATGGACAATAATTTCTCTCTGTATACAGAAGAAAGCCTGTAAACTCAAAATACACTTATTAGTCAACTGGTTTTCTGTTCTGTGATTAAGTTACTAAGAAATTACTGTCTGTGGTAATTGTATTGTACAGATGCGACAGATAGAGATCAGGTAAAAAACGCTGGTGTATTCTTTTAACTTTACAATTCAACTATTTCCTTCATACAGTTAAACATGAAATGACCACATCAAACAGCTGGGACATTTGCCTTTTATTTTTTTTTACATTTTCGCAATTAAAGCATAATCCATACTGGACTGTTGTTAACCCAGCCGCCTTTCATCAAAGCATGGATAGTCCAGCTCCACAATAGTGTGCATGTACGGCTTTACATGCATTTTGTCATTGAAGTTGTTATCAGTCAAGTTTTTACACTGTGCATTATTAAGGAAGTTCATATTCACATTTCTGCAAAAGGGTTATTACAAAGAAGCAGACCACAATACTTACAACAAAAAATATCCAGATGGCTCACACAACAACCCAGTTTAAGTCACTATAATGTCATTTTAAATGAGTACTTCAGAAAACAAACATTACCAGTTCATACAGGATCAGATTAGGTACAAACAAAAATGAAGTGGTTTTACTGCAGATTTTAAAGGGACAAGGGATGTATTTAAAATGCGCAATGTATTGTAGACACATGAAGCATGGAGAGGGGCTGGAAGAAGACAATGGTACTCTTAGTCTGATTTTACTTTTTCTATGCCACCTTGAGAGCATATTGAATTGTGCGAAAAAAAGGTTCACCATATTCACCATATCCAATAACAAAATCTTACAAATTTGACTATAAAGTGAGTAGCTATGTGATTTTCAGTTAACGGCATGTACGTAATTTTCCACGAAACATGCACAAGTCCATGATGGTATGCTTATCACTTGTGTACATGTCCACAACTGCTAAGACTGTTCAGCTCCATCATCCTTCAAAAGAGTTCAGTAACGCTGAGATTGATAACTGATCATCATTGTGATTTATCAGTCTATTCAGGCTTTAGCAGAGCTCAGTAACACTGAGAATAACAACTGATCACATTGATTTATCAGTCTATTCAGGCTTTTATACAATCAAACAGCTTCAGATGATTCAAAATGCAGCTGCCAGAGTTCTCACTTGGAGTAAAAGAAGAGAACACATCACCCCCGTTCTTAAAGCCTTACGCTGGCTACCAGTCTGTTACAGAACAGACTTTAAGATAATATCACTGGTCTATAAATCGCTCAATGGTGTAGGACCAGCATATTTATTTCGTATGTTGCAGCAATATGATCATTAGTAACTACTCAGTTAGTCCTATGAAAGGTGAAGACTAAACATGGAGAAGCAGCGTTTAGCTACTATTTTGCTCTTAAATGGAACCAGTTGACAGAGAGCACTAGCAGAGATTTAAAACATTACTCAGTTTTGAATCTAGGCTTAAAACATTCCTGTTTGAGCAGGCTTTCAGCTCAGTGTAAAACACTGTTAGCGTTTCTAGCACTTCTCCTCTGTATTGGCACTCTATAATTCTTTATTTTCCTATTTAAATTTTAATTTGATTTTTAATCATCTGATTTTAATTTATAATTTGATTTTTCATTTAATGAATTTCTCTTTTAAATCTGTTTTAATCATGTTTTTTTCATTTCTGTTCTCCTTTATTTTTCAAAAGACTGTATTTTGTTATTTGTAAAGTACTTTGAATGACAGCAGTGTACGAAAGATAAACTTGTTTTGCCTTGGCTTGCTTTTTGTAGGAACGTCAGTGTTATAAAGAAACTATTTTTTGAGTTCTTCTTTAGATTACGTCTTCACATTTACTGATATGTATAATACTGCAAAATAATTTGGACAACACAAATACTTCATTTCCTTAAATAAGTAATTCATTTCTTAATCACTTGTATTACCTAACATCCCAAACCAGTGAGTGGTAACCCATAGTTTGAAAAATGCTGTTTTAACATAAGCCAGTCAGTATGATGAGAGAGGCACTGTGGGGACTAGTTTTAAAAATATTTTTTTTAATACTAAAATTTAATATAAAAACATTACACATAAGAATAGTGCTTTTAGGTTTCTCCATATTTTTTCTGTGGGATGCAAAATAAACCTGTGACTCCAGACCGATGGTTACCCTGATCTTTATTCAGTTCATCCGCAGATATTTTGGTTGTTTGTATTATATTTATTTTCTTCACAGTGATTTGCCAAACTACATATCCACCGCCAGCTAAGACTCTCCTCCTCTGTCAGAACTTCCAATTTCCTCTATCTACAGCTGGCTGAAACAGGCTCTGAGTAAATCTGTGTTCAAATTAGCCGTTTTGTCATTTAAACAGAGGTTGACAATCAGGCTGTCAGGTGTGACAACCACACTCGCCACCAGAGGTCAGCATCACCTGAATACTGACGTGCTTCCCAGTTCAACCCTGACCCTTCTCACCTGCAGCTTGTTATCCTTCCTATATAAGGATCCTCAGTACACTGGCTCACTGCGAAGTATTGCCAGTCTCATCTGCATACCAAGCCTTGTTTCAACTAGGATTGCTGTCATTGGATTATTTAGACCCTTTTCTGAACTCTTGGACTCTGCTTTTGATCTCCCTTTGGTACCTCTGCTGTTTTTGTGATCTTTTCTGTTTTTTTGACTTCTGGACTGTTTTTGACTTTGATATTGTTTTTTTGTGTGCTTGAGTAAACGGCCTTCATGGATTCTAATCGGTCTGAAGAGTCTCCTTTACAGAATACTTTGCCAACCCAGAATCCAGAAGACCCGCTTAATCTCCTTGCTGCTGTTTCGGCTCAGGGTCAGCTATTGGGCTCTCATGCCCAACAACTAGTTCACCTCACCAATACCCTTGACGAATTGCTCCATGTGGTTCGTAACCTTCAGATTTCAGCCCCTCTATCTGCTCAAGCCCCTCCGCCTGCTCAAGTCTCCCCGCAGCCTGCAGTACAGCTTTCCACACCTCCCTCAGACACGTCACTCCCTTCTGTCAAGCTAGCCCTCCCTGATAAATATGATGGTTCCCCTGGTCTGTGTAAAGGATTTCTAATGCAGTGCTCGATTTATTTTTCTCGTGCCCCTACAGCCTTTCCCACAGACTCATCCAAAATAGCGTTTGTTATGTCCCTGCTCACTGGTAAAGCTCTCTCCTGGGCTACAGCTATGTGGCAAGCTCAGGTGCCTGATTCCTCTACATATGCTAACTTCGAACGTGTGTTTCGGGAGGTTTTTGATCATCCCGTTTGCGGTAAAGATCCTGGAGAGCTTTTATTATCCCTCAAGCAGGGGAACAAGACAGCAGCGGAGCATGCTTTACACTTCCGCACTCTCGCTGCTGAGGCCGGATGGGACGAGAAATCTTTAAAAGCTGTATACCGCCGTAGCCTCAATGAAGCCCTTCAAACGGAACTGGCATGTCGAGACAGTGACAATAGTCTTTCGGATTTCATCCAATTGTCCATCACCTTGGACAACCTCATTCGTTCCAGACGCCGTCCTATCACCAGCTCCTCTTCTATCCCTTCCGCCGTTCAGTCTGTGCCGGAGCCCATGAAGATTGGTCGTGTGCAGCTCACCCCCGAAGAACCGCTAAGACGCATACGCGAGGGTCTTTGCTTTTACTGTGGCCAGCAAGGACACTTTAAAGGTGACTGTCCCACTCTCAAGAATCCCAAACGGGTGAGTGAGACTATCTATTCTCCTATTGAAAGTCGCAAATTCACTCTACCCGTAACACTAATCTGGGGCTCTTACCGTCTCTCTCTCCCAGCGCTGATTGATTCTGGAGCTGCCGGAAACTTTATAGACCAAGACCTTGCAACCAGACTTCACATTCCCCTCCACAAAATAAAATCACCCCTGACAGTTAAAGGACTGGATGGAAAGCCCTTGGCTCTGGTCAAATCCTAGCTGCCACTCCTCTTTTAAATGTTGTCACAGGAATTTTGCACTCAGAACGTATGTCACTGTTAGCCATTCCCTCTCCTGAAAATCCCATAGTTCTTGGGTTCCCCTGGCTATCTACTCACAACCCCATAATATCCTGGCCCAACGGTGAATTAGAGAAATGGAGCCCCTTCTGTTTTTCCCACTGCATGACCTTACCATGTTTGACGACTTCAGTTGAAAGTCCTGATACTGCTATAAAAGTGCCACTTCCTGTTGAATATACAGAGTTCTCCTCAGTTTTTAGTAAGACCAAGGCTGCAGCACTTCCACCCCACAGAGACACTGACTGTGCAATTGACCTGCTTCCTGGTACCATACCCCCTAAGAGTCGTATTTACCCCCTGTCTATTCCAGAGACTCAAGCCATGGAAGAGTATGTGGAGGAAGCTCTGAAATTGGGTTACATACGCCCTTCTACCTCTCCCGCATCCGCGGGTTTTTTCTTTGTTGAAAAAAAGGATGGAGGATTGAGACCATGTATAGACTATCGAGGACTCAATGCGATAACAGTGAAATATCGCTATCCCCTACCTCTAGTCCCGTCAGCCATCGAACAGCTAAGAAAAGCCACCATGTTCACCAAACTGGACCTCCGGAGCGCATACAATTTGATACGTATTAAGCCAGGTGACGAATGGAAAACGGCTTTTAGTACTACAACTGGCCATTATGAGTACCAGGTGGTCCCGTATGGGCTGGCAAATGCCCCGGCGGTGTTCCAATCTTTCATAAATGATGTATTCAGAAACATGCTCAATAAGTGGGTAATAGTCTATATTGACGACATTCTTGTTTACTCCCCCTCACTCACTGAACACATCACTCATGTCAAGATGGTGCTACAACGCCTCCTGAGTCACAATCTGTATGTGAAATTGGAAAAATGTGAGTTT